TAAGAAGCGGTGCGGGTACTTCAGCCTTGTCATTTTTACTTCTTCCTTGGAGCATGGCTTTTGAGACGTGCCAGTGGCCTCCAAACTCTTCTGCATGTTTGTGATCCACGTCCTTCTGTACGAATAAGCTACTTGTGGTTTTAGGTAGGACTCCGGTTGCCAGACAATTATGTAATATAATTCACATTGGTTCAAAATTTGATAAAGTTAACGGTCAACATATTTTGTGTCTTACAAATGAAACAATATGTGTTTAGTCATTTCCTTTAAATGTCGAAAATTTTCTCCGCACCTTTGCGTGGATCGCCACCAACACCGAGGATAAAACGAATTTACATCATGGAGACGATGCTCCCTATTTCATTAGTAGCAGCACGTGATGTGAATTTAGCTGAGAAATTTAAAAAATGGCATCCTTTGGCAGACAGGCTGCAACAAACGGGGAGCTCTGTTTGAATAATTGTGCCAAAGGCTCATGTTTTTCCACCTCGTGCATAACACAAGTCCCAGCTCCTTTTTTTTGAAACTCCATGTGATTATGGCATTACTGTATCCCCAAACATTTTGAATTCTGTGTTTATGGTTGGGCATCATTCACTTTTATAATTATTTTTAAACATTCAGAATAAATCGCTACTATCGTCACAGTTACCAAAAGTCCGTCCGTTTTTAGAGGCTCTGCTAGTGCGAGTAGCTGCTTATATTCTGTAAGATTTACATAAAATGCCAAGTCACCTGAATTGGACTTGACACCATGACACCAGGTTCGTTACTTTCTGCATCTTATAGCCAACTCATACTGCATCAGATACACCTAAGTATCGCACGGACTGTGCTGTAGCATAAATGCATTTTATTAGTAGTATATAATGTTTCGTGTTTTGACCAGTATCCTTCCAAATGGTTTTGACGACGGTGGCATGGAACTGTACTTTTGCCTCTTGCATTACAGGCATCTCAACCCTTTCATACGCTTATTATAAGATCACTTCCAGTACCGTGTACTCATATTTTGATTGCCACGACACTTATGATGTCTTCGATTGAGCCATCAAGTAGACTAGTAAAGACAGATCGAGACACCACCAACTCAGGCACTTCTTATTAGCTCAACGACTGCAGAACTTCTGGACAAGCTCTATTTGGAATCTCTGATGACGATGTCATCTTTCTGCCGTAGTTTTGATCCCCCTACACTCACTTCTCCATTGTGCACAACAAAACGTATTTCAACGTAGACTTCATATTGAGTGGGCAGAGGAGTAAGGTACTCTTTTCCTCGGTATTGAGAGTTGTTGTGTGGCTTGAGAAACTTCTTCCCTAAAATGTTGTTTCTAAAACAAGTCTTTTCATAGTTTTAAAGCCAAGCTTTCATTGGAGAAAAGATGTATCTTAAACAAGCAGTCTGGAAAATTTTTGCTACTATTCGCTTTCTTAAGTATTTTTGAACTGACAGATTAAAATTAGGTATTTTATTTAGCAAATTCATTAAATTTATCTTCAGCCACTTTCATCTTTAACTAGCGATAGCCCTTTTATGGTCAATTTATTCTCAACCAAGAAACTGTTCCACTCTTACACTGCGCTAAATTTGAAGTGCCTCGTCACAATGAACGGTGTGAGTTCCAAAAACAAGACCTGGAGAAGCACATCTTTTCCTTCTCGAAGTTTTATTATTTGGTTCTTAGCAAAGGGACAGTTACCTACACCAGCGCTCTAATCTCCGTGGGTCCGGTAGCCGTGCCGTTCTCTCCATCCCTTCCTCTATCCATTCAGGAACGATCCGAACACAGGAATCGTGGCAGCTATTAGTAAACTCAGACTAAGCGAGTAACGTACTTAATCAAAAAAATGAAGAAAGAGAATTATGTTGTGGGAGGCTTAAATCGCGGAGACGCAGAAACTAGAAAATTAACGGCTGGAGTAAATTCACTCATGAGCCAACTGGATACGCAACTTTGAGGCTGTCTACGGGAATAAACAACACCCCTCAGACTAACAGCTAAGGTCACCACAAAGTGAGGCGAGCAATGTTGGAAAGGTACGGAAATAAATGAGAAGCATTTGCACCAGCCTTTTCATCCAAACCAACGGGGATTTTTAACGGTATTGAGACCTAAATTATCCTTGGATTGATGTGGAGCTAATATTTGATCTTCTATTCCAGCTGGTAGGAGATTATTACGGAGCCAACAGAAAGGAATGTTCATAGGGCGAGCCAAGAATGCAGTCCAAAAGTTGAAGTCTATGCGATGGAATAATAATTACTTAATTTATGCATTTGGTTGAGTGAGTTTTTTCCTTCTGCGGATTGAGTTTTTGCACCATGGTGTTCCGTTTACGTCTGTAGCTTCTTTGCCCCACTTCAGGTTGGCAATATATCCGCCTCCATATGAATATTTGTCAAGAATGGCGGGGATCTCCATGATATCTCTCTACTCAAAGCACTTGTGGTGATACTTATTCTATCAACTATTTGGTGTTGTTTTCGGGTTGACGAATCCTTGCTTCGAAGAGATTCAAACAAGGAAGGTGAGGTAGAACTAAGGCTGCTTGAGGAACTGAAACATGAATGAGGGATACTTGGGCGTCTTTTATTCCAAAATGCCTGACATAGATCTCGTAAAAGAAATATGTGGTAAATGGCAGGGACTTTTGGGGCTAAAATGAAAAAAAGATAGATGATTCACGTGATAGTGAGATTTGGTCAATATGTTCAAACAATAACAATTTCTCGTTTGTCACACTTTCCAGAAACACTACAAAGACAGGTAGGATTGTTCATGGAGTGATTTTTTGATGCTAAGAAAGGCAAGCATCTGAAGGAAGCATAAAACTAACCAGTAGTTTACTTGGTATTCCAATTCCTACCACGATTTGCGGCTTATTTGATGATCCTAGTAGGAGAAATCAGGAAACTTTTCGAAGTGACAAATTTATTAATTGAAATACCCGCCATTCATATCCATTTGAAAGGATCAGAGGATAGCCATCATTACAAATTTACAAATGTATCTTTAAAAGTAAGAAGTCTATAACTGACCACCACCTTTCTTATCTCAATTATATTCTATTGTGCATGTGACCATTCTACTACCTGATGGAAAGTCCAAGAAAAGGATACAAACAACCTCTAGTGAAACAACAGCAGGATGAGGGGTCCCAGCATAACCCGCCTACCCCCTTGTCACCCTCCAACCGTAAAGTACAAACTTCCCTGTGTAAGTTTTGCAATATGCAGCATGAAGTAGGACGCAGTCCACTACGAATTGGACTTGATTCCGAATGACTGGGTATACCTTTTTGTTTCCGACTTTTGAGGTATATCGTAACCAGTAGATAAATTTAGTCGCATTTGCTTGTTTAGCCTTCAGGCAATACAGAGCGCTAAGCACTGTCAACGGGGGATATAGCAACGAGTTTATTAAATTTAAGGAAGAGATGGACACTTTGTCGGTTGTGCATAATCAACGGAAGGATCTCTTGTTAATCAAACTTTGCAACAAGATACAAAATCCCTCCTTATCTCGATTAGTCCTTCAGCGATTGTAACGTATACGATGAAAAGAGTGAAGGACAAATGGATGGGCAATCGAGCTAGGTGCTATCTTTTAGTGTGTGTGGGCTGATCTATTAACTTGGCAGTTTCCATGACTTTGTCAATCGTGGTGTAGGTGAATTGTTTCATCATCACTCGCTCTAGGCAAGACAGAAATCTCTTCTTGACAGATTAGTCCTGTATTACCATAAAAAGCAGGGAAGCGTAATTCTTCGCTATGCCCAAGGACAGATGGTCTCCCCTCCCAAACGTGATGCATGCCTTCGAGCTTTTTATGGCCAGAATAACATTTAATGAGTAATTTCTGCGTGGTAGGTTATTCTGCTGCCGCGCATTCTCCAAATATGATACAACGATTTGATGAGAAAATCCTGCAGTTTCGAAACTTAGTTAACTTTAATCCGTAAAATGGACAAACTTGGTTAATTCCACGGACATTTTGTGTATATTTGGCTCATGGTATGAGAAAATCAGTACAAATTACAAAAGATAGTACTACATCAAGAGGCTATCACCTATTTATGATTCGTAATGCATGTAAACAACGCCACGCATTTCACTGGTCCCTCCAACTCAAGCATGTGAGGTGAGTGATAATAGTGTTTGACATAAGGAGGAAAAATGCCAAACTACCAACAAATTAACTAAATGATTTCTTAAATAAACGCACTTATTTCTGCAACAGCGGTGACAACTTCTTTAGAAAAAGTAAAGTTGCAGGTAAGATCTCATCAGAACTAACGCCTCAAATGTTATTTTAGTCGGAGGCTTAACTGAAAAATTCTGACCTGAAATGCGTGAAATTTCATTTTCCAGTTGGCTAATGCAGCTCTCTTGCCCATATTGTTTCCTGCTTTTTGGCCAGGGTGGTCTGACCTCATTACTGTCAATCATCTACCAGCCCTTCTGCTTTTACCCATAATTCTACAACTACAACGCCCTCAGTAAGGACTCCAGAACCGTAGCTTCAACATTTCGTGTCTCACGGACAAAAGAGAGTTACTCCTTAGTACCAAAAATAAATTGTCACTGCCTTTTATATTTTTTTCAAAGAATTATCGTAGCCCAAATTTTATGGTTGTATTAAAATAACCAACTACCAATGTAGCTTAAATAAAAGCTTTCAATGAATACCCACAGCGGCTTTTTTTACAAAGGGGTGTTTAAACATAATCGTCCTCTACTTAGAGTAATTATTACAAAGATAAACTGTCCCATTGCCTCCAACTGATAACAATAAAATTCACAAAAAATGGATAAGAAATTTGGTACTTTTTCACTTATTTCTTCCTTTTCTGTCTTCCTTCTTCTTCTTCTCTAGTCTGTTGGTTGATAAATAGCACAATGGAGGAGTAGGAAGGGAAGGAGGGTGGGAGCAGCCACTGTGTAAAATAAGCATTAGGTCGTGAATGGTGTTGTGTAGGATGGAAGTCAAAGCGCTTCATTTCTCGGACATTTGGCGTTGCACACGGAGCATCATCTTCAACTCGTCTATGTAGATTTTCCCATCCTTATCGGCATCCCAGTCCGTTAAGATGGCATCCTTGATACAACGCAAATCCTCGTCGTCGTAGTCCTATCGTTGTGCGGTAGGAATTGCAAGGAAGAGAGGTTATTTATAGTAGGTTCATTTATACGTCGACTTAGCGTATTACAGACAATAAAAGGGGTGATATTGCGGTGATGGGCCGCAGACCAGTCTAGATACTTTCAGTCAGGATGGCGAGGAACATTAGTGATAGTGAATGAATGAAGCAATGCGTTTAGTAAGGAAGTTTTTTGTGAAATAAGGTACGAAGCCTAAACCTACGAACATTTACAAAGTTTGTATTGTGATGGGATGTTAAACCAATTAGTAATAAGGTAGCTGAATGGGTATTAACTTTTTACAGACAATATCTTTTCTGTCACTGACGATCCCGACCTCGGTAGCGATTCCACAGATATAATTCCTGTGATCTGGCAACTAACACTGGAGTTACCTAAGCCTGCAGCCCTGATTAGTGTATAACTTGAGAGGGCAGAAATAAAAGTACTATCAAATGTTAGCAATCGCCAAGAGTTAGCATACACACAGTACCAAGGCAGCTTTTGAGATAAAAACTCGTGACTGAGGATACTGGAGTTCTCTGAATCGCATTACTATCTGTCGCGAAATCTAGAAAGGTCTATTCTTTTCAGAACCAAAATGAGCATCAAAGCAGTGTGAGCATGCCTATGCAGCACCAGTACTGATAATAAAGTGAATTAAGCACACATAAAAGTGCAGATATCCCGGTTTGATTTGAATATCCACCACATATGCTTGCTAAAATCAGGGAGGCTTGTTAGTGATTTGCGCCGATAAGTTTGGAAAGGGTTTTGTAACCCTTCATTATTAATTTTCCACTTTGTTGAGATGATACTGTATTTATGTTACCTATGATACTAATCACCCAGACTATGAAATTTACAGCAATGGTACTGCTCAAATAACCGTCAATGCTAACTCAGAATAGTCTACTCTAAAGCGGAAATAACTTCGCTTTCCGTGTCCTAGAAAAACTGTGCCAAGGCATCAAAGTGAAGGATATTTGCAATTGACTACTAAGTTTATTGAGAATTGTAGAAAAGGCAGTTAAATTGTTACTAATTTCGGTCAGCCTTGGCTTCTGTATGATAGCTAAGACTGAGGGCTCAACGATATTTCTGGGAACATAATTACTCACATTCATAAGTTGAGAACATAATATTTAAAGAGATTAGGATGTGGGACGCTCTGGCTGCAAAACATATTTGAGTCTCCACACCCTCCACTGGAAAGAATCTCTTCTAGACCCAGACTTCCTAACAAAGAACATGATGTCGTAAGACTTGAAAATATTTACCTTCGTCTCAGAGTTGACTAGAGGCCACAGAATGGTAAGAAGTGAAGACAAGAGGTGTCAGTTTAGGGAACCTACGAGGTGGGTGAGCATTTTTTACCTACATGAAGGTCTTTTCGAAATCCCGTGGTTCGTCTTCAGCGTTGGGATTCCCTTTCTGATGACTACGCTACCAGTCTTTTCAATATTCTGTAAGTGCACAATGCAGTTGCTCCTGGAATTGCAGATTTAACAACGTCCCCATGAAGATAAGCTCGAAATTTCCCGTGCACATTACGCTATTAATCACCGAAAGCAATAACTTTTAATTTCCTTTCCGTCACTGGTAATCCTATGCCATAACTTTCAGAGATGCATCACACTTTGGAGTCAGCAATTCTCCGCAGAAACAAAAGGGAAATGTATTTGGGGGATTAGTTAAGGAACTTCTTTGTATATTTTAGAGAATGAGATCTTTTACATCCATCCTTACCGTCGTAGCTCGGTAACAAAAGAAATATTTTGAGCAGAAATGATTACACAGTCCAGATAGAGGGGGCTCGGTGTAAAATATTTTTACCATTCCTTGGTTCCGCGACGGCATATTCAGAGAGACATGAAAGTGAGTGCAGAAAAGTCAAAAAAATCGAGACAACAGTGTATTCAGGCAAACTGTGCTGATATTATCCATAATAAGTAGCCTTTAGTTCAACAGCATTCAAGAATTCGTCTGATTAAGAAATCATATATAACTAGTCGAAAGAATATCTGCATAATTGAAGGAGTAACTACAGTAAAGTACGTTTTTGCATCTTATCAGGACCAGAAAATACCTACTTTTCCCAGTATAGCATTTTGGTATGTGCAGAGAATTGTAAAAAGCATGTGATTGTGCGTGCACATCAAAAAGCACAGATAAGCGATACTGTCTTTCCCTCTCCTTTGTACTTTATCCCCAGCTTTTTCTGCTACCTTCATTCCTAATGCCACAAAATGTCCATTTCGATTTGTTCATATCATGAGTCAAGTTTAAGTCCGTTTCAAAACCGCAGATACTTCACACCAAATTTATTGAATGCCACTTGCAGAAGGCGTAGTAGTGCAACAGGCTACCATCAAGAACTGAGGCATGAAATGTGATTCTTGCCATGGATCACTCGAGGACATGCACCATGTATGGGAGAAGAGATTCTCTGTTCCTGTCACAACTGGTTAAAGTAATTCGGGGCTAATGTGTCAAGGAGGGATTTCTATCGTAGTTAAAGTGGATGATGAGGAAACAATCTGCCTACACTTACATCACGAGTGACAAAGTCATAGGAGGCATTAAGTGATGGGTTCCGCTCACATTGCATTAACGGATAAAGCCGAGCTCGACAGACCATCCATTTGTTCCTCATTTTTTCAAGGACGTTTTAAAACACGGACTGACTAACTTGCGATACAAAGAGCTGCCATATCTTGTCGCAAAATTTGTTAAACAAAAGACCCTACTGTTGATTCTTCACAGACGATTTACGCTCTATCCATTCCATAAATGAAATAAACTCATTACTTTACAAACCAAATACTATGCCTTTTTAGCGTGTGATACACTGCAGATGGAATTGGTCGCTTAAGGTTCTTTGCTATCCGAGGGTTAAACACTAACTGCATTTGAATGTAGTCTGCTCGATGTGTTGCGACTCAAAGATGGGAAACGACAGGGATCAGTCAATCCGTCAAAAGCAAGTCCTATTGCTAGAGGACAATGTAAGACTTCATTTTGCATGTAGTGGGGCTTATAAGTAGGGAAATTTGCATATCGGTGTGAGAGGGGGAGAGTGGAAAGAAGGAAGAAAGATTTTGGTCCACCTTATCCTTGTCCTCTGTATTCCCCCGTTGATATTTCACTAAGAGCTGTTAATCACGTCTTTTTGGTCATTGAATTTTACGATGGAATGACCATGTGGACAAAATAATAAAACTGAGTTTGGGTATTCTTTCGAAATTTCATTCCAAAAACTACTTTAAAATAAAAGATTGTATATTTTATTTTGATTCATCATCTTCCGAGAAGTTTGGATTATGCACTTGTCTTGATTCATTTACCTCATCTTTATCAAAATAAACAACACTAAGTAAATAAAATTCCATGGTCGTATGAAGCATGTTTGTTTGGATAAACTTTTGAGGTGAAAAGCGGTCAGATTCTACCAATCCCATGGCTGAGCGGACACCAATGATCCCTTCGATGGGTTGTAAACCTCTACCCCGCCCACTACACAACACACCTTCCCCCGACCGACCTTCTCCATTCAAGAGTTCGCGAATGGAAGTGGAAGAGAGAGACAATAAACACATTGTAGCCAAAACACATAATTTTGAAAAAATTGATGGAATTTACACCATCCGTGGGTGATACTCGCCATTTAGATAGGGTGGATTTGATTAACAAAGGGGAACCAACTTGATTACTTGTCACAAATTGTGAAGAGGAAATAAACTGGAAATAGGATGTAACATATCAAGGCCTAGATAGCCGACATCCGTAGTCACATTTATTCAGCATTAAAAATGGGCCAACAAAACTAAGTTTATAAATAAAGAAGCAATAAGAAATCACTCTCAATATTCCTGTGATCATCAGATTCATTTCAAGCCCTAAAATGGCATCTCATTGATTCAAGAATACGAAGAAATGAAGATTTTCTTTAGGTGTCAATGTGTCAGTGACGGGTGACCAGGCCAATTTCTGTAACAAGAAGAGGTGAGTTGGGTTTAAAACGCTAAAATGGGTAATAAGTTGATGCTCTTGGCCTAAGGCTAATCAAAGCGTGGGAATAACTTTAAACAGACGATGCCTTTTGTTACCCTCAGTCGCCACTTTTTCATTCAAGCTCGCAGAAGTGATTGTGTTGGGCAAAGAAATCCTCACTGAATGCCAAATATTCTCCGAAACTTTTGGAAAAAACAAACTCTACGCATCATTTCGTTACAAACATAAACAAATTAAAAATTTGGTTCTTTTTAAAATTAATCTCAAATTTGACAAGTTCATCTACTCGCCTAAATATGCTTCATTTTAAAACGCCCATCTGGAAGGATTTTCTAATTATGCTACAATTTTGGGTAAAAATTAAAATGAAGTCCTGCTTAGCTAAGGGAAACGCAATAAAGGGTAAGACATTTAATACCTTGATTAATTGTCTACCTCTTCATTTTGGTTCCATTTTGTACTTACGTCGGGCGAAATGGCCTCCAGACATAGCCACTAGCACCCAACCCCTCTGCTCAAGTATTATCGTCTTTCGTCTTAAGAGAGGTCTCGGCGTACTAGACAGGGTTCTGCTGGAAATTGTGCCAAATTCCTACTGCAAAGAGAAAGGTCCAGGAATTCTGAGTTGTTTACTCATTTTCATGTTAATTAGGTGATTATGGTCAGGCTAAAGTGTCATGTCCGCAGTTCATGGCATAACGGGGTCCTGTTTAACTGCCTGCCAAGTAATTTGACAAAATTCCCATCTCTTATTTGGCAAAGTGTCTTTTTTCCTCTCTCATATTAGTCCTGCCTGATTTGAAGAATTTTTCGTTGACAATGTCAATCATTTCAAAAGCACTACCTACATGTCGACTCAAATACGCATTATTTACAATATGCAGCTTTGTTCGTCTCTAAGCTGAGACGACTTAAAGAAGGAAAAGTAGCATGAAGGAATGACATATCACATATTCATCATTTTTTTCTTCATTATTTATTGACTGATTAAGTAAGAAACAATGGCATTCCTCTGGGGGAAAGCAGCAGGTACAACCATTTCTCATTCTACGCAATTAAATGCTCCCTTTCATCTGCGTGCCGACTTTAGGGATTTGTGGAGTTGCTTGCGCAGTTCATCAATTATACATTTAAAGCCATTATGGGAGTTGGAGCTCCATAAACACACGATTCACTGCTCATTTATCTCAATGTGTCTCAGGGCTAATCCCCAGCCTAGCCCACACCCTGTGGCCTCGGATGTAGGCAGTAGGTGGTTGAGCAAATAGCTAATTTACAAAAACACTTTGCCAATTAAATTTGCATTTTAAGCAATGAATAGGTGGGGGGGGGGGGGGTTCCGCTTTTAAACCGCTTATCTCTACTGAATGACAACAAAGTGCACTAGTCTCTAGTGTGTACCTGAATTTTATTATCAAATTTATAATTTATGCTTCCGAGCAGTAAGAAATTTAAGTACAGGAGAGGCGGTTATATAGAACGGGACTTTTGAAGCCTGTTCGTTGAGGAAATGGATACTTCGTCCACCATATTGAAGTCATTTGTTATGGTGGGTAAACGGAGTTAGGACTGTTAATCTGAAACTCCTGTGTGCTTTTAAGATTGGGATTGGTTTGGCGTTTTCAGTATCCATTTTTGAGTACAATATTTTGATCGGCTAGCATTTAGAAACTAAGTTGCCAAGAGACGGAGATACAGTAAATTTCACATGAAGGGATTGGGAAGGGCAACAATCACCCATTGAAAACTCCTGATCTGGTGTAGAATTGTGATGAGATTGAGTTCATTTTAGCTATCTTTAGCCCTCTAGAAAATGCCTTTTACAAAGGAGTCTCCAAAGGTTCTAACATCCCTGACCTGCTCCAATTCACAAATCGGATATCTGGAGAAATCTTGAAGGTGCCATAAATCAGCCTATCAATCCCTCAATCAATCCACTAGTAGGTTTTATAAAATAACGGTTTTAAGGGCCATGTATAAATGATCACTTAGTAATGAAACCGAGATGATGTTTTGTCACCAGCTTCTAAATTGATACAGTTTACAATAGATCGCACGTCAGTCTCATTGGTGCACCGTTCTTGTCAATCGACTCCAGACTACATTTTTGGAAAGAAAAACAAAGTTCAATTCCCCTCTTTCGTAAAACATTTCCCAGGTTTTCAATGAATATGTAAAACCATTAATTTCTACATAAAAGTGAGGCAAAACAACGACGACTTAATAGCAAAGACATCCCATAAATTTCGTCTTTCAAGAACTGGTTGATGAAAATCTGCCATTTTAAATTGCGAATCAAACCAATGCTAGAAATCTACTCCTCAAACAAATTAGTCAACATTCCAAGGTGAAGCAATAAAACACGGAACTGCTTAACATATGTGCCTTCTTAGTTGACAATGGGATAGTTGGCACTAACCTCGTTGGTGGTCAGACGTCACCGATTCTCGGGGAAACAAGCACAGACCTTACATAAAATTCAGATAATTGCTAAAACCACCCCGATTCTTACAACGAGGCATGAGATGTCATCCTTTGACTACCTTTTTCGATTCATATGAAAATATTGCAGTAGGAACCACAACAACTGGGAGTATCCATATGCAATAATTCATTGCATAGTGAAACAGCTTTCCACTTTTCGACTCTTAGAAGTATTTCTAACAGAGAATTGTTTCAAGCGTTGATTTTTTACAATTAAATTGTCGTCTCATAAAATTTATTCCCATGTATGCATCCGTGCATAAATACGTAAAAGCAAAACGAAATTTGGGCATCCATTCTGAGCTGCGCAAAATCAGTGTCCGTTTATGAATTAACTTTAAAATATTAGATCCCCTGGACTTATAATATTCTTGGAGGGAAGGAAATGGGCAAATTAATGCCTAAAAATATCACTTTATTAAGATTTTCTAGCCTCGGTCAAAAGGTAAGGTGCATTATTTTTAAGTGATCTACCCAAATTTCCTCAAAAGGAGGATATTTCATTTTCCTTTTCAAGCAAATCAGAGGATAGAGTAATTACAAAAAAAACCTTAAAAACAAGTAGCAATTTGGTCTTTTTCAAAGTGGTATGAAAGTTTCCTTTGCTGGCGTTTAGCAACTCACGGTAATGCCTAACAATGATTTCGCATGTCAGAATTTTGCTATGAACACATGAAAGTGGCCCTTGAACCCACGTCATGCACTGTTTGACAGTGAAAACCGTGTTGACAAGGCTAATATATGGAAATATTGCAGAATAGTCTGACAATAGCAGAAATTTTTGGATTTAAAAGTTGTAAAATTAACTTGAATAATTGCTTACTTCCTGTGTAAGGTCGAGAAGATCTTTGAAGAATGCTGATAGTTCTTCATCCTGCATATAACCATTATGGTCCTAAAATAAAAACTTTTCTCTTTCAGTTCCGAGATCTTGGCAAAAGAGGAAACTTGATCACTTTGAATTATCAGTTTTTCCAAGGTGAAATCCTTGAAGGAGTTGATTAAGTCGCTCATGTCGACAGTACCATACACACGAGCGGATGCATGCTTGAGTGTACAAAAGAAATTAGGAAAATAAGCAGGAATTGCATTTGTTCGACCGCCGGACATTAAAACAACCCCTTGAAACCAGCTTCGATTGAACCGTCTCATCACAGAACACTCTACTTCACTTTGACTTGATATTCAGCCTCCAATAACTGCCCAAAGCCACAAATGTTTGTGAATTTTCCCTTTTTCCGTTCTTTCCACAGAAAGATTAATCTCTTTTACAATCTCTGATCAAACAAAGCAACAGGCCTTGAAAGGTTGCTATGGCTCGGAAATGATCTCTCAAATCCTGAGTGGCTCATTGCCATTTTGCAAGACCAAAAGCCTTCTATTTTGGACTACTTTATGTCTCCACTCATAAAAAATGTCCTCACAGGCTGTTATTCGCCACTTGGACTAATGACTTCTGAACAGGTTTTAGATCCACTTGCCGAATTATATTTACAAAACAGAATTACCTCTTGCTAATGAGTGGACTGCAACTACGGTTGTCTGTTTTGTATCGCTGCAAAACCAAAGGTCCGCTATGACTTAAACATCCCTTTTACGAAAAGATTAATTACTGAATTAAGTGTAGAGTTCTTAAGCAACTTAACCTATCGGACACCAAATGCACTTGCTGACAGTTTATCTCTATGCACTGAAGACTTTTCTGTCCTTCTGCAGAGAAGCACTTTCTTTCTTATTATCTGATACTCCCGAAAAGTCGACATTGTGTTATTTAGTGGACTTTTGGCTGAAAAGCATGCACATCCCAGTACAATACTTATTGTGTACTTGGACAAAAAAGAGCTGATTCACATTGCCAACACGTGGCCTTAGAAATGCCTTTTTAAATTGCTTACCACTGAATTATTCCAAAAGGATTCGGTTGCTCCGACGAGCTGTCGAGTTGATGGCCACCTTCGTAACTATACTTTTAAATACACTAACGATACAATTCCCTTTGACAACATTGCAAAGTTACATGGTAAGTTCATGGGAAAATTCCTGTCCCCTGCTCATTATTGTTTTCATTTATGACCAAATTTCAATGCCTTATTTGTTCTTTCTCTCTGCGGGATCCAAAATTTCACACAACTATAGCGGGATAAATTAGTGCGAAAAGCTCTAACTTTCCGCATAGGTAGCTAAGTGATGTCCTTGATCAAGTGATGTGGAGATAGAGATTAGCGGGGATTAAGCATTAAGCAGGCGAATGGGAGTTTGAGAAGGGAAAGTGGGGAATGGGAGGGATTTACCTCATCATAGTAGCTGAAGACCCGATCAATATCGTCGTCGGTTATTTTTCCAGGACTCTTAAAAAAGGGTCTTTTCAGAAAGTTTTCTTTTACTGGAACTAATCTAAAATGAGGAATTAATAATATACCCAAACATTGGCTTTAGAAATTATATTTTTTCCCAAAAAATAGAAAAATATCCCGAGAATTGTGGAAATTTTACTTACCAAAGAAGTCGATAAAAATATGAGTAGTTAATGCGTGATCTCGTACACAAAAAAATCTGTTTGCCTAACTAAAAATGAATATACAAACGGCTTTTAGGGCTTTGAGCAATATTTGCCCACAAATTAAGGACTAGAAAAGGAAAACAATAATGTAATAGTGACAGCTTCTTCTTAGAAAGAGCTGCGTAAACATTATGGAAGAAAGCATCAAGTATGCGACCAAATTCATCTGAAGAGTTGGCATAACGTTTAAAAACAATGCAAAAGTTGTTTCACTTAATTCATTACCTTGCCATTTCACTGAGCTGTAATTTTCTGTCCTTGTTCTTGTCAAATATTCGTAGCTAAAACCAAGCAAAAAAAGGAAGTTTTGCTCCCCCGGAATAATTTTAAGCATCTTTCTAGGTGGAGGAGAGACTTACAATATTATCAGTGTATTCGATGAGCTTGTCTTCTGAAATCAAGTTGCCCTTCGGTGAGTGCTTGAACAGCTCCTTGAGGAAGTCCTTCAATTTACAAGAAAGAAATAGCTCGAGGTAATAAAAGCCTAGCGTAAACCTGTATAAAGCAACAAGTAGCAAGTAAAAATGCAACCTTCAGTTCGTCGGCCTCGATAAATCCACTTTTGTCTTTGTCAAACATCTTCCACACCTAAGAATAAGTAGAGCGATTTAGTCATTTATTTGTGATTTGTGCTGATAGAGTATAGTGTACTTGAAACTACACCTCCTCATGCGTTCCTTCTAGCTTGACAGTTGACACCGGTATCACATAAAATGGCAAAATCTACACCATTGGTAACAGAAATGAGGTTTACTGAATTACCATTCGTACAGTTTAGCTATATTTTAGACACCATCTGCTTAAGGCTTGGGCAAATTTCTAGAGTAACTTACCACCACTAAAATGCAACCTTTGGTATGCATTAACGCCTCAATCTTTTGCTTTATATGATAGGTCATGAAAGTAAGACCATCTTAACTATATGCCAGCTGGGAGGTGCACCTGTTTCCTTTGAATTGCCGCGTTTTAATGGGAGGTTTTTGAAACAAACGGGTTGATGCATAAAGCATTACCTCACCCGATGTTTTGTTAAACTCGTCTAATTAAAGCTCCTTTCATGAATCTTTCTGCATAATTTCATCAAATTATTTGATATTATGGGAATTTCACTTCCCGTATGTAGTTTCACGCGACCAAAATGAAGGTGGATTTAAGTTTCCAGTCTACATCTTTAAGACTTGAGTGATACAAAGTAAGGCTGAAGTAAGTTTGAATTTCCTAGTCTCCATTTTGATAAAATAGTACCATTAGATATTTGTCAGTTGTTGGATATCGGCTTAATGCGTCAATTCATCTGTTGAAGATGCATCAGTGGATGCTCCAAGCCGAATTTTTGTGTTCCACCATCAGCCTGTGTGTCTACGCGCTTTCCTACTTTACTAATTCCGATTAATTCACCATAGCGTGGAGATATAAAACCATATATACCACACAAATTAAGCACCCCTGCCTTAAGGCTAAACTTGAACACTTTGTAGCAGAGCTTGGGAAGTGTTTTTCAGGGCTGTGAAGCCTGTTCGTCATAAGGCCCCTTACGAACAGGCTAATAAAGAATCCGCATAAAATTAGGCCCAAATTTAGTTCTGTTGTAAAAAAGAATACAATCTTCATTTTTACCCGCTGGATGTGTACATTGGTTTGGTTTCGAGGCATACTCGAGATATGCAATCACGCTTATTAGGTGGTTAATAGGGAAGTTCGGATGCCAAAACGATGTAGTTTTTACGGGATTTCATGAAGCGTGGTACCTGCATCAGATATTCGTCCAAGCGCTTTCCAGGGTAAATTTAAAGTCACAATTTTTTGCTCTACTTTCACACATTTTCACCACACAGTAAAATAAGCGATGTAGGTAGGAACAAACTATTCATTTAAAAATTTCCGTTAGTAGTTGGGTTTTCCTCACATTTGACACTAAAAACTTATTTTAGATTGTGAAAAAAATCCATCAAGCAAAGTCTTATACTGGTTACCCAAGTTCCATTTTTATTGCGGAATATTGCAAAAAATACGTGAAATTTAAAATGTGAGCCTGGTCCAAAGTGGGTTGTAACTAGCAAAATGAATATTTTCTCTAATTCGGAACTTTATTTCGGCCCCTGTTTGATCAGTTCCACCTTTTGCTTTTGTCACCTCCCAAACACCTTCATGCCAATGGGTTTGATGACTTGTGTCACCTCAAGGACTTAATCCTTTTCCATTATAAGTCGTGATTTCTCACTTTGTCAGATGATAAAGAAAGTCTTTTATGCCTTTTAGTGTAAAAAGAAAAGCTAAAGGGCAGAAATTGTCACTTGCTCGCATAAAATCCACACTTGATTGGACGAACTGTTCACGAAAAAAGAGGAAAATGAACTCCTCCTCTGTCGGCAAGAGTTGGGCCAGCTAAAGCACAGAAAAGCATACTTTTCATCAGCTGTCATCCAAACTTGACAGCAAAATGTGTCTCCCTAGAATTTTAGAATTTAGCGGCAAGAATTAACTGTGATGGAAGCTATTTTCCGACATCCTATTTTCAGATCACCTGGAGAATCGTATAACTATCTGATTTAAGTGAAAGGCAACTATTCGGACTCCATTTATGAAGGTGGGATGGCAATTTCTGTGAAGTATCTGTTTTGAAATTTGCTTCCCCATTTTACGAGAATTCTTTAGCAAGGTTAAAAATTTTCAAACAAAGAGAAGTTTTACTCTTTCCATAGATATAAAATGGCCAAGTTGCTTGCAGCACTTAAAGAAATCTTGATAAAAGCGCTGAAATCATGCACTGACAGAAGATGTCAAATTGGCCCGGGAAAAACTCTATTCGTTTCCTTCTCAGATGTTTCCTTTGTAAATATGGCAAAACATGCCCAAAATTTCGGTTTCATATCTTTCATTCAAAGAGAACCGAAATATCTTTTATGGAAAAATTGGTGATGCTTTTATGTTTAGAATCCATTATCGCCAATTTTTGATGGCAAACTTAACCCATTTTAAAAAAGCACATTTAATATTTGAAATATAAGTGGGGAAATTCAGTTAAAGTTTCAGTTAGTTGCTCGATGAGAGATCTGTAGTCTTTTGAAGCAATAGAATGATTCAAGCAGTATTTAACAGATGTAAATCCACTTTAAATTACCCGTCGACATTTTTTCTTCTTGGCTATTTATTTTACCAGCAGGCCTCTACTTAAGTTGCTTGAATTAAGAACAATCCTCCTCCCCTAGCAGAAGGAGGCACCAAGTAACTACACTAAAATTCTTCATCCTCAATCAAGTAAAGTAAATGTGAAAGCACTCTTTTGATGTAGCCCTAAAACGAGATATTTCAACACCTAATGCTTTATGCGAATAATCACTGGTTAAAATAGTAGGTCGCTTTTATAACTACTCTTTTTGAAACTTATAGGTTCCACACTTTCTGAACTAACTCAGTGCATCTGCCACGTTTAGAGGTAAGTTGACTTTATTATTCTTTTCAAAGTTAGGAGAGGTCATTTAAACAATTAGCGACTGATAGAAAGCTTGTTTTTATTACCTCGAAAGGGTAAATTATTATGGTGTGTCTCCCTGAAAAACAGGGAGTATACTGCATTAATAGGTGGCCTTGCATATTGCAACATTATGTCGCTCTTTCTTTCGTAACCTGAACTAAGAACAGCTTTCTATTTCCGATTAAGTTGAGACTGCAGCTTTCCTGCCATCAAATCCATGGATGCCTTTTGCGAAGCGTGGCCGGGATGGTTATCAACAACTATACTGGTATAAACAGGAAGTTGGATAATTTCAAAGTTTAATATTGGCAACGCTATAAAGTGGCTTTATTGAAGAAAAAACCTTATTTATGGTATTTAAAATGGGATAAGATAACAGGGGAATAAATTTACTCCCTAAGAAGTGTAAACCTTCCAACCACTCGTGAAATAAGCGTCTCCCGGTCACTAAGCTAGCAGCTATTCTCGTCTACGTTAGGTAATTCCACTGGTTTTACGCATAGAGAAAATAAAGCCTCCAGCGTAACGAACAAAAGATATTTTTGTTTTGTGCACATTAAAATGCGTATTTCTGTAAAAATTATGAATCATCTATTTATTTTAAAGTAAACAGATAGCATTACCTCCGAGATATCAATCCGATCATCATCGTTTTTGTCGAGGCTTTCACGCAGTTCAGCTATCAACTGGTCAATTTCTTCATTAAGCATATGCTAAAATATTTTAGAAGAAGAAATTCATCCTCAGAATTGCAAAAACTATAAGAGACATAGAATCTGATTGAGTCAGTCTGTTATAAAAAAAGGGAGGCAAAAAATGAACATCAACTGATTTCTTTTGCCTGTTTGCATGGATTCTATAGAGATAATAAGAAGTAAGAAAATTATTTGGCACTTAGCAAGAGTAGGGAGCAGATTTACCTGTTTTAAGTCCTCGGGAACAATTGCATCGAGGAGCTCTGAGAAGAATAGATGCATTTCATCGCCTTCAATAAATCCGTTTCCTGAAAATAAAATTCCGCATTCATATCGCCCTGATTAGTAGGTCTTTCCTTCTTGGCTTTTATATTCCTTGTAATTTCATCACCCACTCTGGCTTGGCCTTCATAAATTTTGAAAATTTTACAAACATGAAGAGATAACTTTGTAGCTGACTTACTTTACGTAATGTGTTACCATTTTCGTGGCTACTTACTTATGGCATTTTTTCAAAAAAAAATAGGTTGAAATTCCTGTCAAATGCTTTATTTTTGAATAACTCAGGTCCCACAACATTTGACAATTTAAATGTTTAATAAGGATTATTTTGTGACATAAGGTAGGCTGTTTTGTGTAACGACCTTTGTTGGCACCACCATTTCCAACTACTTGGCTTTGTCTCGTGTTAAACAATAGGATTTTCTGCCTAAAACTTTCCTTATTGTTCAAGCTGACACAGGAGTTATTTCAGACTGGTGAAGTTCGAACTACCAGGTCAATCAAAGCTCTTTGCAAAGGTCCACGCCGTGTTGATTATGTGGGTAGAATTTTGACACTGGTAAACCCTAAAACCCCATTTGGTCCTTGCCATAGTTAAAAAGTTAGTCTATATCCCTTCTTCTGCATTGAAATATAAGTAGCTATGGCCGTATATACACAACTAGCTGCAGAAGGAAATAAAAAGTGAGGAGGAAAACGAACTTTTGGACCCAATCACGATTTTGGGAATTAGGCTTTCGAATTTGAAACGTCACATATGGATGACGCATGTTCTTTATAAGCTTCAGATGACTTCGTCCCTGTAAAACTAAGAGCCACGAACTAGTAAAATAAATGTAGGGCTGTTTTTTGCTGCTTGATGATGATTTTATTTGCCTGATTTAAACGAGTTAATTTTACATGGAACGCATCTACTGCCGGAGGCAGATCCAGATAATAAACGTGCCAGTGAAATTGGGGGAGATCTCATCCATGCACTCAAGACACCTGCAAGGACACTTACATTTTCCCACCAACACGTTTTGGGTGGTTCGAGTGGATTGTTTCATAAAGTTGTAAGTTGTAAATGCCTTTAAAGCAGACAAATAAAGGATCCATGAAGGCTAAGTAAAATGTCATGGGAATAGATCCATTTGACCTCTTTGTATATTCCGACATGACCTTTACTTACACACAGTAATTCGTTAAAGTTTTTCCTTGAATAATATAAAAGGATGAAAAATCAGGAAGAGCTAATTTCCTTAAAGAATGTATTAAAGTAACCTATAACGAAGTTACTTCGAATCGGTGCTTCGGTCTGGTGGCAGGTACTTTTAGGAAATAGTTCGTCATAAAAACCTTGACAAGCTAAAAGTAGTTTATTTTTGGCCTACATGGGAGGCATCAGTTTAAAATCAACTAAGGATAGAAAAGGGAATGATTTACAAGGCATTATCAAACTTACCGCCTTTAGTACAGCGTTTAAGGTTAAATCCGTCCTACTTCATAAATTCCTTATAAATAGCGAAGATTTAATCAGGAAGTTCGGTTAATTTCTCTAAAATGTTCATCATTTTTACATCCCATGTTTATCAACGTTGATTGATCAGTCATCGCATATTTCGGTCGCTATCTTGATACCGCGGTTCCCTGTACATAACATTTGTGCTGTGCCATCAGCAAACTAGCCGTTCTACTCAGACCCAGCCCATAACCCTACGGCATTTTAAGGCAAAACTAGTCGTTTAAGCTTCATTTAATGCTTCAATTTAGGATGTTTGTAATTAAAAGATCATCTGTACTGATTGAGGGAATTAAATTCACCCTTTTCTTTCCTGGGTTTAAATTTAAAATTTTGGGTATACTGCTTAAGACATGTCGTCTCTTCTGAAAATACATTCAAACTTATATAATTAAGGGCGATGGTGGACGACAAAAAATTGAGACGCTTGAGCGCAACGCCCCTACTAGTATGCACATGGATATAATAGTAATTTTAATACAAGAAACGCCTTCACAACCGCTATTCACTTGAATTTAGGGTAATTTTTTTAAGCCTCCGATATGTGATTTACTTTAAGTGACTTGATTATAAGAAGAAGTAACTTTTCAAAACAAGCAGTGCCATTAAAGCTGTAATTTTAAAGTGGGTAACTTAAGCAGCCTTGTTTGACCAGGAGAAAACAAAACTGGAACTGTTCTGTCCACTACTTAGTCCCGAGCATTTGTATCTCGTTTTATCACTCGTATAAGCAAATCTAAGCACACTTTAAATCACTTCTTTATACTCTTTTGTTTTAAACTTCGTGGGGAAAATTTATCGTCCAAGAAAAGTCACCTTGTCATTTTTTTGAAAAATAAGGACCATTAAGCAGAAGCAAGACCGAACACCTTCCCCAGCTATTTGACTCGTTTGGAGTCGGGTAGATTCTCACTGCCCAGCGATCAAATCACAAAGTTAAGGCGCACTTCCTAATGATAGTGTGCTGACAATGACCTGGCGAGATAATAGATCTTTAAAAAAATAACCAAGGACTGGTAGAAGTGAAGGCGATTGATGATCAAGATAAGTTGAATTAAGCATTTATATGGAAACCAAATAACATATTGAATCACCAGAGGCTGTGGATATATGCTAACTTTTAACTAGCCGCGACGTTGCTTGAATAGATTAACAAACGAGGGTTGTAAAAGAAAAATGAAGGCAGAATACGCTTCCACTCAACCAATCCGTCTCACCGAAAATGTATTGTATGTGTCAGCTAAGTTGGAAATAAGACACTAACTAAGTCACTGTCGTAAGTCAAAAAGACAAAGAAGTTACTAAGGGACGGGATAGAACATTTCAAACCCGAGGTACTTTACCGAGGACTCATTTTACTCTAGAATCTGTCATAAAACATCAAGCAAATTGACCATTTAGGGATCATTTACTGAAGGTCCACACTTATTGAGCAAATACGATTAAAAGCGGATAAAAACTGGGAGACAATTTCCCATTTGAACTGGTTTATGAGATATAATTAAGGTCTACTGAATTCTTCAAGTGTCGGTATCAAATTAACGCAAACAGTGAAACGAGTCATCAAAAGCAAGAAGCAAAGGTTGTTTTAAAGCAATGTAACCTATAAAACATAAAAGTAGCGCAATGAAGATCAAGCTGCAAGCATCTGGTACATATAAGTGAAAAATTTTAGTCCACCACTCACCGTCTCTGTCGTAGCGAAGCCACACATCGGCGAACTGTTCGGCCGAGACGTGACGGAACTTGAGCTCCTTCTCATCGAAGTAGTCCTTCAGCAGATTTCGCTGTTGCGCGTGTGGTGAACATTCATTTAGTAGAGGCTCGCCGGCTGCCATGTTGCCGGTGTTTATGCTGTCACACTTACTCCCTTGGTTCTCCATTCTCCGCCTTCCAGGTTGGCTTGCCTGCTCGCCTGTCTCGTCCGCTCACTAATAAACGCTAGCATGTGAGCACACGCACCCACGCTAGCGCTTCACTTAGGGCGCGGTTACGCATCTACTGTTGCTCATACGCTTGATTAGCTTAGCTTCTCATACTTAGATGTTGCACAAGTTAAAGCGACTTTCCTGAACTTACTAACTAATGACGACAAACCCCAGATTCCATCTACCAATATCTAAATTGGTTTTAATCATATTCTATCCTACCAGACTAATGCACTTAACCCAGAATCTAACCCTAAAATTTCCAATCAGTTTGTGTACAGCTGATTCCACCGAAACAGCCTGCCTCAGTTCCGCATCAATTCCGGTCATCAATCCACATGCCCACACTACTGTGGGACTCAGTTTGACATTTTTATTCTGTCGCACATGGTGATATGATCTAGAAAATCTTGGCCTCTGGCCAAAATTTCTCTTCAGCTTATCCGTGTTCGTCTAAAGCTAAAACCTACATTAGTATCTCCTTCGTAACCCTGCCTTACAAAGTCGTTAATGCCCGATGATCTCTCGGAAAGACTCGTGCTGTGTACAATTTTGCCTCACGACAACTTGAACAACAATAAGACTTCTGAAATTAGGCTACGTTTTTCAAGGAAAAATTACTGGACCATTTGATCATTATAGCCGTGTTCGTCACTGATTCGAAGATGTAAGACCATCTTTTAACCAGCTTTATCATTCCAATGTCTTCTCTACTGTATTCGCTCCTCGTGTAAACCGTATTTAAAGTCTTTAGTGCGAGGAGACCTTCACGGGTTGCACGATTTAGTTAACAGGGAAGTCTTTATCGCCTCACTTTTGTGCGAAAGAAAACTTACCATGGTGGTCCCTAGCTGTGCATGTGATAAAAAACTCGCCTGCTACGAAGTGTTATGCCATACGGCAGCGTTACTTTCATGAGTCCATCAAAGTTCGGTTACCCCTTCGACTTGAGCTCCACTAGTGATTTTATTCCATCAAGTATGAGGCGGTGTACGAAAAGTTGGTGCTGAAGTACAAGTATGCGCACTAGCTTGATTTTCTTGTTGTGATAAAAAAATTTCCTAGTGATCAGAATAGTAGAAGCGCCTTTCACTTTCCCCTGCCCCTTTTGAAGTCTAGTGACACGCAAAATTTTGAACTCATTAAAATCATATCAATACTCGCCTTTAAAAGAAATTCTTTGAAATTAAACAACCGTGACCTTGACTGAGTATCACATTGTGATCGGATGTACATTACCCGGGTTTTTAATAAAAGCAGTTTTAGGATCACTCGCAGCTGTTGCTTGACGAAGAAAAGAAATAAATTAGTTAAAACATTTGTACATTTCAAGGAGTTTAACCGTAGACCCTTTATTAAGGCTGTGCGCAAATTGCTCAACAGGATAAATTACAGGAGATCGGGTGGGGTCACATCACCTGAGTAGGCGGTATCTGTAGCGATGAAGGCCTCTGCCTAAATTTTCACTCCGTCATTATTGTGAAGACCATTCAGAAACAATGGGTAGGACTCCACCTATCTTGATGTAAAAGAAAACAGTGAATGATGAGGAAAAAGTGAGAAAGGTACTATTAGCTCTTCTTCCTACAATTTCCCTACACTTGTGTTCCTGGAGGGTGTGAATTTGAAGTTCTCGCTTTTTAACAATGACATATAACGACTTGCCTCTTCTTTTAAGTTAACAATAGGCCATAGCAATAAGAAAAATTTTTAGGTTACAGGAGGACTGAGAGACTACTAGAATATTCTCGGAACTTTAGTGTCAGGTGAAAGTATCAATTGCGGCGACTGAAAAGTCCATGTAGTTAGAAGCCCAAGCAAAATAAAAAAGCATCTATTTGAAGAGATGCTGGTGTTACGCAACCCAACTTATAAACAAACTGTCCCAATTCATCTTGTCCATTTTCAAAATGCTTTAAATTTTCTCGTTCTCGTTCGCTTTGGGACCATAAGTACACCACAGAGTAGCCTTGAAAATGCCGACTAGCTTATCCGCCTCTAAAGTTTCCTACTTATCATGAAGGTTGTCAAAGTTCTTTTTTAATGATTTGGAATTGGGAAGTTTTTTTAATTCCGACCTCATGTAAACGATGCTAAATGAGCGTGAGTCTCTTTTTTCTGCCTCTTCCTATGTTGATGGTAATAAATAACTACTTTACCCTCCGGTCAAAAATGGTTAGATAACTTCTTCAAACACAATTAATCAGTAGCCTTGTGCTGTTAAATTCTCTCCCTCAAAACCGATTAGTGAAAAAATTTTTGACTTAGAGTGAAGGCTTTGCAATATGTCTCTTTACCTCTTAGAAAGAGGTATCATTTAGAAGGAAGCAATATGAGCGAAGAATTTAAGACCGTACGGGATAACATGCGGGCAATAAATTTTATCTCTAGTTTTTATTGCAAGCCCTCATTCACTTAGTAGTCTTTGGCTGTGGATAGCTCATCTTTTAATAATGATATAAGGTAGATAATATCAAATTGGGCTGTTCCATTAAGTTTATCAAAAAGGCTGCAACTGTAATGTAGGTATCCACCGCCAGCGTCCGCATGGAACACCTTAAAGTGCTTTTAAATAATTTAAGACGGCGTCTATTGTTTAAGCTCTTCCACACCTTTTATTTGCTGATATTTTCAGCAATCATACCATATCGACGAGATGCTGGGTAATGAAATTCCACTTCCATTTCATCATACCGGTTAGCCCTGTTTATTGTAATGAGGCAGGAAAAAAGGAAACCTTTAGAGCATCGCTGTTCGCTAGCAGCAAGCAAATTCCTTTCTGCACGTATGGACCACTTGTACCATAAAACTACACTGACTTACAAAGATTATCCCATCGATGGTTTATGTGATGTTGGATAGTTGGCAACATCTTAATTTTATGCCCCGTGATCTCTAATTTGTCGTTAAGATATTTAGAGGTCGTTGTAAGAGTGAATTTTGTTGAATCGCTTCATTGCCTTCTTTTGTGTACTCGATTCCTTCCACATCTTACCGATTTGAAATCAATGTCTCACAATTCCACGACGGTAATGGGTAATGCATATTTCAAGCTCTGTTAAGCTTTAAAGTACTAGGACTTCCTCTAAGACCACCCTTTTTATATGACCATATTTAGATCCGTTCTTGTGATTGGACCATTTAGGAAGTTTGAATTATTATAAGGAGCAATTTTTAAATTTAGGCTTAAATGCACAGTCTGTTTTGGCACGTTATGTCATGTAGATCCATACGAAATTTTCACAAATGATTAGAAGTTGGCACAAAAAGGTCCGCACGATAAAGCGTGCTGTAAAAAGTAGTAATACGAAAAATTTCAGGGCAATCATAAAAGCAAATAATGAAAATAGACTTCTTGACTCGTAAAGTTCGCAATTTTGACATCTAAAAAGTAATTTTAAACTTGGTTTTATTTTGGATGCTTTTTGGGGGAATTTTTTCGTAAACTGGGTGCACCATTAAGTCGGTTGTTGAGTAGCCTCATAATTCAAATTTGGATGCCACAATTAAGGCCCTTTTTGGTTTAAGAGTCCAAAACTCCATCATTTTATAAGGGTAATCATATTTAGGGGTAGATTTTCTTTATTTTATCCCATATAAGGAGAAATTTTTCTGAACCTTATAACTTCAAGAGCGGTGACTTCAAAATTCAAAGCATCGAACGCACCTCTGCGCTCTATCTCATAATTGAAAAGGGCATCTTGAATAGATAAGTTAACGTACAAATTTATGGAGAATGTACAATAGACTATTATTTTCTTGTACTGGGAGTGCATCCAAGCTCAACCTTTAGTCTTGGCGAATTGAGAGCGTCACAATGGTGGTGCGCCGTTTCCCTCCAGTGGATTTTTAATAACTGACCAGTCTCTCTATGCGGATCCATTCAGACTCCTGCGTTTCGGAATCCTTGAACTTCAAAGGGAATGCCCTCTCTACCCTTCACCATTCAGGTCATATAACATCGAAAGGGGAATCTAAGCATTCCACCCTAATCATGTCGACCTATTAAAAGGTAGCTGGCACTATTGTAACTAAACTGATGCTTTGGTCTCCTCCCGGAGCCAAAAACATGGACCTATCAAAATGAACTGGGTAAATTACGAAGGATGGGGAATCTGAGCAAGATGTTCATTTTTTGTCGCGTGGGCGTTTTAAAAAGCAGAGAACATTGACGGCGATGCCTCGCGGAAGTGGAGATTCTTTACATGTGTTGATTTGTAAGTTAAATCAAGCATACTTTTCACCCAACGAGATTTCGGTCACCATATCTCAGTGTTGTGACGGGCTATTCCCGTTCGCATTTTTAACAGTCCACCAAATAATAAAGTTTTGCCCCTGTTTGTAAATTCCATAACTTCCTCTCACAGAGCTGCACATTTGTTGGTTTTTCTTTTGCATGATGGCTGTTTCCAAGCAATGGGGACATTCCACATTCCTCGACTGATTTTAGCTAGAAAACGGACATGGCAAGAGCTATTTAGTCTTTTTTCACTGTGTTCTGACCACAGATAAGACAGCAGTGATCACGAGAATAATAATTTGTCTCTCTTTCGTAGTTAAGCAATTTTGCATTGTCTTCGGCTAGATGATGAAAGGAATCGAATTAATCGTGAGTCCATTCTATGGCCTACATCCCATTAGCACTAACAACAAAAGAATGGAAATCACTTTGAAGCCTTTGAAAAAGATAAAAGAAGGTATACTATTTGAAAGTCATCATTTGAAAAAGCCTTTCTATTCTACTGAATCATGTAGTACATAAAGGTACATTTTTCTCATTTCACCGAAAAATTAAAAAGGCAAACAACACTGTAGGAGTTACACCACTTTAGGGAGGTAAAAATACGCAACTTTTAAGTCAAACTTAAACTAAGATCATTAGCTATTTTCCATGGAGGAAGTTTAATCTTGTGCCGGAATATAAACCCTTCATAATTAATTTGTTGGGGGTATTAGAGAGCCTCTTCACACTAGTTAACTCCTCTTTGAACATCAAACTGTGAAGTCTTTTGTCGTCTTCTATGTCCAAATGGAATAATTATTCCTAAAAATTTATAAAGCATTACTTTAAGTGTACAGTGGGATCCACTTCTTCACCCAAAAGCCAAGTCTAAGATTGCCTTCAACAAATGTTTAAGTGCGTGAGCTGGGGTACTGTCTAATTTCTAATCCGGGTAACCAATTGGCAACGCCCTCGACACCAATGTCTTTATTTGCCCTTGTGTTTAATTATGGCGAGCGCATACGTGGCAGGTACCGAGGTAGTGGATAATGCAGGAGACAGTCTCGTCCCACTTCCAATCTCGTCAAGCTGAATAAACTTGTCCTTGCAGTGCTTATTAGAGTTCTTGATGCCCATCTGCACGTAATGCTGGCTTATCAAGAGGCCCATTGAGCTGAGGTGCAACATTCTGGAATGTTTGAGAATCAGTCATGCAAGTGAAAATGTTTTCTGGTCTACCAGACAGCCTTTGTAATTACACGAAATATTGTGGCAGTGGCAATTAGTTTCCACTTTCTGTGACAGGGGACTTCTGTGTGGTTGAAAATTTGCTCAGCATCTTGCAATAGAAGGATACTTCATTGCATTTTTGTTTAGATACGTCACAAAATACACAAATTTAAACGCAAACGGACGCGTTAACAAAAATTTCTTCTTTTTTTTGAATAGGAATGTTATTGAAGGCAGTTACGGCCATGATGGTGCTATAAACGATATCGCGTAAGTGAATACCAACTCTGCAAATACTTCCTGCATCCTTATAAAATAGCCACTCGTAGGACTTTGTTTCAACGTTTCGGAAATTACTTAGTAAAATCGAATAATTCGGTAACTGGGAATATTGTAACAATTTAAGCTGTTCTGCCATTTATTTTCCCTTAAATCCATTTAAAACGAAAAAAAGGACACGTTTTAGAGTTTTAGTGCCAAAAAAGGAAATTATTTTACATTTGTTAAATACCAGAATGCAGTTGTCGTGCATGTGATCGTGGCGGAGATCTTTTGACAGCATACAAAATTACGTTGAGATGCTGGATATGTTGATGCTTAAAAGTAGATCTCAATACCAACAAGGCGTGGGGTAACTTTTGGTAAAACAAAAATTTAGCCCACTCGAGGAGTAGCATTGTGGAAATTTAGAGATTTTATCCCACCGAAGGCGGAGTGCCACCCCGTAGCATGCACATTACACATGCTGGTCGCTTTTATCTACTGAAAACGTGGAAAAGTACTAGCTCATAAATATCGCAGTACCTCTGTGTTGGACCCTGAGGCCACCACGCCTTCCAAACACCTTTTTAAAAACTGGATGCTAGAATTAGTTCTAGCAATGAATGTGTCTTTGAAAACTCTTCTATTGTGAGTCCTTACAGACTTACTTCTCCTCGACATTTTCTGTCTTCAATCACGTCTGCAACCAAAAAATTCGGGACTATTCCCATCTAGACAATTTTTGCTTGCCGTTATCAACAGTTTGACATATTAAGCTATTTGTGAGAGTAATAAACGCTTTATAACCGATGTAAAGTAGCAGCAGAATATATTCATGGATAGGTGCCCACGCCATTAGGATATCCGTAGAGCACCTGGAAACGGAAGAGCCCGCGTGGTCAAATAAACATATAAACAAGCGCAGTTTTATTGCTGTACAGTCACGATGTGGAGGTCAGATTTCCGCTACTGGTAAATTGATGCCTTGTCTCTGTATACGCTGGAGAACGAAATAAAAGTGATGTGATTAAGACCTCTTCAACTATGTTTTGTAATGCGCTTTTCAAGGAAACCAAAAACTGAAACTTTCCCAAGACTGATAAATTTACTCCTGCTTCATTTGATTATCATGCATGAGCTAATCTACCCTAATCTTTTTAATGGTTAAGGAAAAAGATGTTAGCTAGATTCACTATTTTAAACAAATCTGACTTCGTTTATGTCTTTAGACAATCCTTTTATCCGTCTGTGAATGTATCTAACTCTCATAATTATCACCCTACCCACAGGCTAGCCCCGGCTAGTTTAAGGACTTAAACAAATTGTATAGGCGTAGACTGACACACGGCTAGTTTTTGACTCTTTTTATAATTGGGCTATTTTAGTACAGCTACTGGGTACATTCGACCTCCTCAACTCGATGCAATTGTAAAAAGACTTCTAATAATATAGGCGAATAAAGTGAGTACACTTGTCCTCATTTTCAAGGGCAAAGTTGGCTGTACACCTCCGACTCCTCCATGAGGGCGTCATGAGACCACGACTTAATTATAAGCGTTGAGAACAGTTGCCGGACTGTTGAAGGGTATGACATGCAGAGAAATCCATACCACCGAGAAGACGGAACAATGGATGCAGTCAAATGAAGCACTAAAATTCATTGTTTCGCTTTAAAAAACAGAAAGCGAAAAGATTGATATACCCTGATGGGCAGTCGGTCTTTGTTAATCCCTTCGTGCAAAACAATAATGGGGATAAGTCGTAGCATAGAATTTGCCATGCACCAGCGAATTGGGTATATTTTAAGGCATACGAAGTGGCCAAGTAAGCAGAAAGAAATTTTTACAGACTCAATTGGTTTTGAAAGTCCTCCTCCTACTTCATTTCCACGGAGTAGAGGACCGCGTGAACTTTAAAGAGGATCAAACTTAGTTCCGAGAAGGAATTTTCTGGATGACATAAAAACCAGAAAACTGGAAAACTAAAACTCCACCTTTTTGTGCGGGTGATTAAAATTTGGCGTTGATTTATCCTTACCGTACCTCTTTTAAGAAGGATATTCTCGAATCCCTTTAACTTAAAATGATGACTTCGTAGTCTAAAGTATCAAATAAACTTCGAAACTTCATCGCCAAGTTTCAGGAGATGGCTTTAGTGACTAAACCATGATTTTCTTGTACTATATGTCTATCGGTGCTAAATCTTCATTCTCAGTGAAATCTGGTCGTCACATTGGTAGTAGCCACCCTTCCCCTCCCCCCTCAAGTCATTTGTGTTGACAGCCCACGAGTCCGTCAACTTATTTGTAGTCATGCTCATACTGCTTGCAGTTCGTGACTTTTCAGTAACAATGCCCTTCCCACCCAACAACATTTTAGCTCCTATGGCAGTGGTGGAGAAATCCACGCATTCTTACTCCCCTAAATATAGCTGTTTAATGGGCGCCAAGCATCTTCAAGTCCTCCCTAAGCTTTACTGGTGTCATCTAATGGCTAACTCCTGCTGAAAGACTTAACGTCACAACTGATAAAACAAATGCCAAAAGAAACTGTTTGGTAGACTAAATGCCCCGCTTTGAAACAGTGGTCTAAAAATGGTGACATTACATGCTTAGACTAGCCCCTTAAAGTCTACAAGGTGAAGAAATGCGGATTGGTCTAATCACCGCAACATTTCTCTTACTGATTTTGCCAAGGAACATTCAAAGAAAAGGTGCTTTAAAGTAATAAGTGACAAACCACTAATGAAGTAGAAATGTTTTAACTCAAGAATTACTCACCGTTATAAGGACCTCATTTAGGGGGGCACTTCCATCCTTGACTAAAAGGGAGAAGTTCTTGTGATGTGATGGAAACAACGTTTAAGGTAAGCAATGTAAGTGCTGGAACGTTTCGTTTACATCCTAATCAGTTAAGAAGGTCGTGATGGGAAATAAGTTCCACCCTATTCCCATCAATTTACCAATGGCAATATACCGCTGCAATCATGGCTTTGTTCCCTATTTTTACGTACACCATGCAGTTTTAATTTTTTACTTACTAATAAACTGGCATCGAGGAATGGTCTTTGTATTCCAACTTTTTGCATGAGGACGAGCCTCTCATTTGTCCTTCTCAAAAGACCCACCCAAACTTCTGAGGCACGCGTCACTCCATCCTCAGGAGACTATGCATTTCTTTGAGCGCATTTGTGTAATGGCCTGTGGAGGCAATTGTTCGCTATAAATTACTTACTTAATGAAGGCCAAGTAATTAATGAAATCGGGACCTATCTACTCAATACGACTCAATAAAAGTGTATTCTTAGTCACTTAGGACTGGTAAATCAGTATGAAGAGCCTCCTATCCTTGCAATAGTAAAAAAGATCTCTTACCTCAAAATTTATAACAACAGATTGCTTTCTCTCATAAAACCTATTCACAAGATTTTTGCTTTTGAGTGAGAAAGTGAAATGGTAAAAAATGCCCAATCTCTGTGATCTCCTAATGCTATTCAAGTACTTTCTACCCTTTCTCGGCATCACACAGCCACAGCATCAAATTTAAAATAAAAATGTGAAATACTTTGAAAATAGAATTAAAATGACCGGCTCTAGGTTTTCTGCCTTATTAAGTAAAATGAAAGTAGCAGAGATGGGGAATCAGAAAATGGGTGCAGAGGAGAAAAATGGGAACTGCTTATCATCAAATTGATAAAATGACAACTCATTACCTCAAACGAAGGTTTCTGTGCGTCAAACAGGAAATCGTGGAAGACGAATTCACAAATTTATACTACATCCACAAGGGAATATTGCAAACTGCCCCAAACAACAATTCAAAACGTCAAAATGGCTAATGGATACCTTCTGCACTTCATTCACACAAATAATGGAATGATTTTGAAGACATTTAAATAATGGCATCTTGTAGCTTTTGCATTAGGCTACATTCTTGGCGTCAAGGCGATTCGCTTCTATCCGTGGATTGACAAGAAACACTCTGTCATACCAAAATGGAATATTGCATTTCCTGAGGTGAGCGGATGGCTGGGATCGCCAAAACAACCACTTCATTAATGCTTAATGAACAGGTCGCTCAAATAGAAGGACAAATTTAGATCCATGTGTTTATCATGGTGACTACACTTGATCGTTTATGATACATTGGGTACACGATGACAAACTGCTTTATAATGGATCCTTCGAAAAGACGTCTTTCAACAAAGTTATCACTGATGTATCCAAACAAAACAGCGAACAGTTGCAAAGCTTGATCCGGGGTTTTTTGTAAGTGAAAAGTTACCTTTTGAGGGGCAATTTGCCTGTAGAAAATGAACTACAAACCGGGTATATATGCAAATGCAATAAGATAAATCTACAAAGGAGTTGAGGAAATACACTTTGCATGCAATCCAGATGAGTGATGAATTAAGTAATTGCTGCCTCAGCATGCTACTTAAAAGCGCCACTACTACTGAAACGCTGTCATTGCTATTGGTCAACTTACAAGTCATAGAAATGCGATATTTCAGTAAAAATATACAAATAATAAATGCGACTCTTCTAACCAGAAGTGTTTTGCTCTCACAGTTTGTCTGAAAAAAGCTAAAATAGGGGTAAGGGGACTGTGTTTTATTTATTGTGCTCAAGTATTTGATATGCATGCATACTGAAAGCACGCATTTGTACTATTTAATGAGAAAAGACAAAATTTTTGTTAGAGTTAGGGAATTGACACTTCTCATTGTAACTAAATCTTGTAGATTTAAGGTACATTTGAAATTCCGGATTTTCTTCTCAAAATCTAAGCTTTCGCAACATTTTTTACAAAAAAATTGACGAAACTTTTGTTGATGTAATGAATAAATTTCTTTGTTCGAATAATGCTTATTATCCGGATGGTTTATCTTCTGGTCAAAGATAAAATTACCCCTGAGCGGCTCATTTGGATGCCTGAGCCATTTATGCTCACCCTGAAACCCTCCAACAAAAGTAATTAAATGCAAATCATCGGGGCCTTAGTCTCTCCCTTAGCCAGTCCGCAGGTCATTTCCAGGGCTCATATCTTTCATTCGCATCATTCCGCTTAGTGGGATTACCGACTAATGAATGGGGCAGTCAAGCCGCTCACAAATTCCCCACATCAGTGAATCCGTTCCCACCCAAAAAGGGGAGAAGAGGTAAAATACGGCAACCAAATATTGAGGCAACATTTGTGGTGAAGAGAGTTAATAAATGTGCATTCTTGAGATCAGCAATTGTTTACCCCTGACTGTGACAAGTACCCCTTTCCGACATTAATTCCCCAAACCTGACAGTCATCCCGCCAATACTTTTTAAGTTTTGAGGGAATTGTCAACAAAATGCACTGTCAATGCACACTCATCCAACTTGTCAAGTTATTCACGTTATATTTGGTCAAAAATGTTTGAGTCTCATGACTTCGTTTAAGAGGACAGATTTGTTACACAATACCTCCATTTAGCTAAACAAGCCCATTTACATCAACTGATCAGGAAAGAGTGAATTTTAAAGGCCTAACTTGTCCCAGAAATTATGGTTATCATGCTCCACTAAGTCATGTAATTTTACCTTTTTTCTCACCTTTATCTTACCAGATAATTCAGGCACATTTGTTCCCTCTAAAGTAAATGTTGTCCCAATACGGGTAAGTAGGGAGATTAAGTGCCCGAGTCTTTCTCAAAGTCAAAAGTAGAGTTAATACCGGGGCAGAATATGTGGTACTGGCAATAAAGAAGAGTTGGAGTGGGGCTACTGGCACGGTTCAGAGATCATACTCTCCAGCGGAAGTACAAAGGCGGAGCCCCAAATGCCCGCGAAACCAAACAGGGGAGTTAAACAAATAGTCAAAACGCTACAAAGATTCACGAAAATTGGTTTTATTATTTTTATGAATGTCTCATTCAAACAGAAAAAAAGGTATTTGGGGACTTGCATAAGGTGTACAAGCGAAGTAAGTGCCCATTCGCGAAGGTCAGTCAGTGGGTTAGGAGGAGGAGGTCAAGGTGTGTCAGTCGTCCGATACCGCCTAACTGATTTTTAGGGTAATTTAAAGGAAAATCCACCTTGTAAATGGGTAGTTAACCGTATTTTTAAGGCACCGATCCACAGAACTATAAACAAAGTAAAAATGCTCCACGTTTGCCAAGTGAATCTTTTCTAGCATAGGGAAAACTTGATTAGAAAATGGTCTGCGACAACAATCCCGATTTTTTCATCCCTTAATTTAAATTGCTTTGATTTTGAATTCATTTAATTGCGTATTTAACTGCACTGCTTTTTGGATGGGTCCATAACCCTCCACTGGTTTGCCTTCTTGCAGATTTAGGGAAGATTCGTTGCTCTAAAAATGTAACCAAGTCTGAAAAGGATCCCTTTATGTAGGTTCCTCTTTAACAAAGGAGCCAGAATTCTAACCCCCAAGACTTCAGTAACCCTCCTCCAAAGCCTTTTTATTAGCCGCCATCATTATAAGTAGGTAACATTGACCCAGGTCTCAGTTGAAAGCTCAATCAATGCGCCGGTATGTAGGTAGACTCCATTTTAAATAACCATCTAAGTTATATAATAAGGCGTTGCAAAATTAGGTAATCCACATGTAATCGACAATACGTCGTCATGGCTAGGGCTTCGCCATTATGCATCAGACGTTACATGCAGTTGTTATTGGCAACCCCTAAATTGCCCAACTTTAATTCTATCATCGCCTCTACACCCCATGCGAAAAGTTATTTGGACCTAACTTCTAAATGCGATTCAAAAAAGTACTTGTTTTAAGACTGCTCCCTTAAGTCAAACAGTTTCTTTAAAACAATGCAGCAAAACGCGTTGCAACTTTGAATGGTTTGCGAGTGGAGGATATAGGATTAAAAAAATATTGAGTAAGGTGGAATTTTTGACAATTCCTTAATAAAAATGTGAAATTTTATGCTGCAAGCAAAATGATGTACTCACGTAGCCTCTAAAGGCAGCTTAAATATAACAGGTATGAAGACGTCCTAACAAAGAGGAATGACAAATTTAAATAGGGATTTGAGTTTACAAATGAGGAGGAGCTAAATTCGAAGGGTTGGAAATTTCAGACATATGCTTATTCCAGGATATAGATAACACCTGAAACGGCGATTTGAGATGGATTGGTTCACCAAGTCATCTTAATCAACGTGCTGCCTTTCCGAAATTGCAATTATGGGGAGGTGAATTGTCCATCGTTCCCACTGAAAGCTTGTCTCTTGTTTAAAATCACCACAAGCCTTGATCAGACAAGATTGTCTACCGAGGCTGTAATCACCACGACTGACATCGCTGCTGACGTACAGACCTGCGGCTGTACTTGAAACCCTCACGCCACTTAAATGGCCTTCACAAGGTCCTTCATTGCTACACCCTGTTCTCTGAGCCTCCACAAGTTTAATTGTCTATGGTAGATTTCTTTGTTCTGTAGCCTTTTGGGTGTAGCACCCAATCATTGTGAAGGCGAAATGCTTGTTTGCTCACAATACCACAAGTGCTACACTTGAGCTACCTCCTACAACGCAGTGAAGTACGTCAGTCTAAATGTAAGTTAAGTATGAAACTCCTTATTGCCTATGATATCCGTGGTGCAGTGACTCTTTGTTTAGGCTAATTCTTTAATCACAAAGTTCTCTTCAAGACTGAGGCCGAATGACTAGGGTCACAGAATTCGTGTTGAAGGCCAAAGATCGGTGCCTAGGGAGATCGAGAGAGGTCCGCTTAATCTTCTCACCAATTTTACTTTTGTGTTGCAAATATGCGTTCAAATGTACTTTTGGGCAAAATAAGTTGTCCGCTTTTTTATCATGGATTCGGCGGTTGTGAGAAAGTGAAAGCAGTTTTACTTATATCAAATTGCTTGCATGCTGACCCTGCGGATGCGGTCAGTTGCGGGGAGGGGGGGGAGGGGCAACAGTTCAATCGCTTTTCAAACCATAGGCTGTTGAGGGAGCAAGTGCTGAAAAAAACAGATGAAAACCACTCCTAAAGTTAGCAAAATCAGAGAAATAAAATATGTTTGTTGTTAGCTCTGGAGGATAAACAAAGTAAGCATGTCCTGAGTCAACACCTTCAGTGTGACGCAACAAAGGATAAGGATGAAAGAGTTTTAAGGTCAAAATCCTGAGTAGGTAAAATAGAAAGGCCCCACAACATTAATCATGAGGCATTGGTGGCTAAAAAAGAAGTTGGAGATTGGCCACTTATTAATTTGTTGATTAGGGTCATTCGAAAGACGCTACTTAAGGTAGGTAAATAATTTAAATGCTGAAGACGTCGGGTCGATTAAAAGAGAAGTAAAAATAAGTTTTAATTATCTACTAAAGTAATTTCCGGAAAAATAAAGGAGGAAAAGTGGCAAATAGGTATGGCGATTGACGTTTACGGCTTATAGGGCAAGACTTGCAAAGCAGATGCGCCCTTGTTCTTCTCAAAGTTAATAGATTCTTCCGACCTAAAATCACGAAGACTCACAAAAAAAGACTTATACTAGGATTTAAAATTGTTATGTTAAATACATGCTTTCCGCGATAAAATCCCTTCGTTGGAGCATCTTTGTGATGAATAATGAGGAATATCAGGACATCCTTTTGTTTATCCAAATCACTGGAATCTTAATCATCTTAGGAGGCAATAACATTGGAAAGGAGAGGTAGAACCGCGGTGGGAAGAAGCTGCAGCATTAGCATAATAAACAATTAATTTGAGTGTTTGCCAAACTACTTGTCTGCATGAACAATAAACCTAATTTAAGAAGGGCGACTTGATGATTTGAATGGGTTTGTATTTAAAATAAACGGAAGATATTTCCCTATCATACTAAAACGACACTATGGCCGTTTTGGAGTGAGTCGAAGAGCAGTCACCAAGTAGTAAAGTACAACCGCAGGCCACACTTTGTGGGCGTAAAATGCCTATCAGCTATGTACTACTTGTGTTATTTAAATGGACCTTTCAGAGAGGAAGCGGGGGGTTGACTCGAACCTATTAAGTGAATGTAATACTTAGATTATTTTGATGTACCTTTCAGAGAGGAGACAAGGTTACAATTCGAACCTAGGGGCAAGGTCGGCGTCTCCCTAGCCTGAGAGCGATTGCGGATCCTCTTCTTACTAAACTGCGTACTTGTTACCCCGATTCACTTCCCTCCAATAACTATGTCGAAATCAATCCAACCTAGCTGTTCTAAGAGAATGAGGAACAGATATTAGGAGAACTACGAGTCTTACACTACATGGAGTGTGGTAAACATCTGCCAAACCAGAGAAGTGCTCTGTGCTAGTTTAAGCTAATCAGAAAATACGTCCAAATTCAACCAGGCTGAGTGTTCTAAGGGTATTAAGGCTAGGGTAGAGGAGATAAAAGAAGACCGTGCTACAATTTAGTATTCTGATAAGAACAGAATCGTCACAAAGTCGTATATATGGCAAGATCCTGATTACCAATAATTCAACGAGGAAAACGACTCTTTAAGGGTAATTAGTTTTTTTATTTTAGAATCAGGACAAGTAATATTCCATAACTGCTGATCATTTGTTTCATGGACTAAAAGGAAGACAAGTAATAATTAACCTCGCAGAATAAAATAGGTAATATATACCAAAAAAAATTTTAAATGCTGCAATATGAGAGATGTATCTTGCAAAAGTAGTTAGTTTAGCAATATTAGGTGGACTGTTATTTCCAAAAACACAATAATGCATAAATTGAATTGGAAGTCCTTGAAGAGCTTGTTAGAATTCAAGTGGTAGGTTAGGCCTCCATTAAGATAGACGCTTGCAAGTCACTTGTTAGGTTTTGCAAGTAAAAGCTCCATTGCCAATTGCAGACGACTTGTAAGGGTTTAAAAAATGCAGTCAACAATATTTAAACGATGTCAAATGTTTGACCGTAACACCTTGCCATAATTTGCAACAAATAAAAAACATATTTAATTTATCAGGGGGTTACTTTTAATAAACTTACATAGATGTGTTTTGGTCTTTTTTGCGCTTTATTTGTTTAGACGTGTCAAATTTGCTCCTACAACTGACCTCAAATCGGGCAGTCCAATTTGAGTTTCTTCGTCTGGATAAGCCAGGGAGATGCCGCTGAACAATGCCTATATAAAGTCTATTTCTGGCCTTATCAAGTCCTCCATATGTCTCGTCTTGATTATTACCCTCATTTGTGCATGTGTTAACTGCGTATCCTACCGGATTTTCTTCCTTCTGGTTTCTCTTTTTGGTTTCCTCGTTGAATTTGGATTCTTCCTATGCTACCTCTTTAGTTTAACGGGGAAGCTTAGCTTGAATTGGCCCTTCACAGTAAGTATCAAGCTCTTATCTCAGAAATTTGGTGGCAAATGCTTATTGACTAATTTTTGGGTTGACTTGGTTTTTTGAAGTCTGTAGAATTTTCTTTTCTATTTCATTGACTTTAGGTCTTTTTGCATTTTGTATCTTAATAAAATTAACTGCTTTAAATCCAATTGTAGGACTTTATAGCGTCGGTGGTGATGGCAGCTCTCTCCTTTATTAACTTTTGCGTCTCTTGCTACGGGGCTAGGTTGGGGGCCCCACAGGACGGTGCCGCAGCTGTAGGTTTTGGCCATATATCCTCATTTTTAGCATCTTATTCGTTTTTTCACCTTGATACTTTGTGTACTTGTAGTTTTTTTGGATTGTGGCATTGCTTCTCTTTTGCGTGGACTGCTACTACTGCTACCGTGCCTGGAGAGGTGGCTCTCATGGTCCCCCTGCTACCACGACTGTCGGGCCCTCCTTCGTCTCAGAACCGCCGCCAGCTAGCGGACCTTCCTACCCAGGCTATCCGCAGGACTCCACTCAGGGTGGTTTCGAATACTCAAACTAGAGGTAGATAACCTCAGTCTCCTTACAGTAAGGCTCGATAAAATTTATAATGACAATGAAGTTATATTATTATAATCTATCTTAATGTTTCTACTTCATCGAGTTTCCCTTTTACTGGAGGTTTGCCAAGTAATCCTTTTAAAAAAATCGCCTTAAAAGCTTTTAGATATAGCTTCTTTTACTATTCGCTCGTTATTCGGTGTTCCCTTATTTTTAGTTCTCCCTTTCATGGATGCTTATCGGAAAATGTTTTTGTAGTGGGAGCATTTCAGTCCACTCCTAGTTACCCTTTTTGATAAATCTTCAGAACAACTTCTTAATCTTAAATAGCTCATATTTACCTCTTCACTGAATCCTAGAAGATTCTTCTCATGTTAATAGCTAATTTACCAGTAAATGCTAGCCTAATCACGCGATTTTTCCAAATTAGGAACTACTTAAAGGAAGTTTGAGCGAGCTTTAATTCACCCTAGATGGGGCCGTATTTGCCAAGCGTTTCCAAGTTAATCGTTTTGCTTATGAACAAAGGAAGCTTTATACTTACAGTTGATCCGAGTAGATCTGATCAGCCAGTTTCACTCTTGCCTTTTCAGCTGATTAGGTTGGTAAAATGCAAGCCTAAGAGGTGCCCTGGCTAATTAATTGCTTATTTTGTCAAGATAATTGGCCCAACACATTTGCCAAAAATGCGAAAATAACGGCCCAGCGACCCCAAATATTGACGCATCTTTTAGCAGTAGTTACGAAGGTTTGATCATATTTGTGATTATTAAATGATACACCGGTCTTAACTTCAAAAGCAGTGGCGTGGAAACAATTTTGGATTGTTTACAGCTCCCAATGTCTTTTTTGACGGATGTTTTATAAGTAATTTTAAATAATCATCCGATAAGTACGGCCAATCCTTTTATATTGTTTTTTGAAAGGTCAGTCGCTTCATGATCTGATTTTTTATTCTTCTTTCCACTTTCTGCTGATTTCGAATGGTGAAAATGAAGGAATGGCCTTGTTCAATTGGCATTTCCTAATCATCGTCAATTTGGTTGCTTGTGCGATTTAAACCTAAAAGATCCAGTCATTCTCAGGTTCAAAATATGAGTACTAAAGTTGAATCAAATTTCTGCTTTGTCGGCGATGCTTTTAGACAAGTTCCCAGCTTTGTTACCTCTTTTTTCCAAAAAACCCCCATCACTGGTAGGTACCAAGCTAAATCTTTATGAGAGATGTGAAAATTGGATGATCCTCTGCTGAGTGAGCATTAAATGCAGGCCTGCGCCCCATTAAACTCCATCCAGAATCAAGAAAGTGGGCCACATCACACGTCCTCTACCGCCGTAACTGTAACTTGAAATTTGTATCGAAAGAGAGTAAAAAATCGCTGAGGGTCAAAATATTTCGTCTTTACTATGGACCCTAGAAGACTGTTTTAGCTTTAGTCCTTATCTACGTGGTGGCAGGTCCTACAAATCCGATCAAAATAAATGTAATATTAGGTAAGTAACTATTCATCCACTTTATCTCATAATTGACATATCTCGTGTCCCTGCTCATAGGGGAGATTAAATAGGAGACTTCCATACTTTTTTTATGTCATACATGTGTATGGAGTAGGCGCTCAAAGTATGGAGGGACTCTCAAGTAGTTACATATAAGGTGAATTGGGTGTACTTTCCTGTTTTATAACAAGAATTGGCCTTAACTTTGGCTAGCCAGGCAGGCAGTACACTGTGAGGATGGTTGTCTCACGATAGTTTTGGGGACCTGAGGAGTCAAAAAGCTGGTTCATTTATGCACACCATGGAGGGAAAAACCCCCAAACTTCCAAAATATGTGCCCTGAATGCATTGGAAAAAGGTATTTCGTCATTTTTATTCACCTACTGCAGTCTATCCTATTTTTGAGGCCTGTTAATACATTGTCGGTAATTTATTTACCACTTTGCATAAAAATGCATTCTTACTTCCCTTATTATTTATCCGCCATTTCATTGGGCAAGATATATGAGGACATGCTTCGGAGTGAATGAGTAAAATGTCGGAATTAATGGAATTAGGATTTTGTTTCTCACTATCCACATCGAAGGTTGACGACCCTAAATTCCCCAAAACATGATTATATTTACGCCAAAGGAGGGAAATGGTGTGTGGTATTATTAAAATTCACCATTTCATTTTGACCCCATAATCTATCCATTTGCATAAATTAGCGAGGAGAAAGATCCGGCTTCCCTTTCTATTACATGAGATTAGTTTCCCCTTCATTTGGTCGAGGGACTCAATATTACTTGAGATTATCTGCTGTATATGCGAAAATTGGCTCTGCTGTGAGTAATCATGGTCAGGCACGCACACGCAACACAATGCCTTAAAGATGCGATTTTCGTGGGGCTATTGGCAAAGCAGCATGCCCTCAGGCAAGAGGACACGTTGGATCATGACTTGTGAGTGTGCTCTTCGCGCATACCTGCATGAGTTTGCTTGCAGGCTGAAGACAAATGTCCTACACTTGTAATTAACACGGTGCCGTCATGTCATCGTACGTTGGGCCACGCGTGCTGTATAACTCATGAAGGCTCGTGAAGAGTATGAGAAAGAAGGCGTGTTTGAGGAGTATTGAGTCGTTTGAGTTCTCATGTCAGGCGCGGATCGTCGCGGGCACATTGGAGTTTGACATCCTGCGGCATAACATAGCCGCGTTGGATAAATTGTAAGCAAAAGTTTGTCTCCAAGTTTCCAGTCTTCAGGACCTACTGATGCATTTCAATCTCCAGACCCCATAATTGAAGCTTTTTACTAAAAAACCGATCTTTTTCTTTGAAAAATCCCAAATTAGTGATTGAGGCTGACAAAAAATTTGTAAAATAGTAGATGGATTTTGTTTACATTCTTGTTAATGTCCATGAAGTCTCATTGCCACTTTTCACTGGTACCGTTTTGCTTCATGACAGGATTTGCTTTTAACAGTTTTGACAAATTATTTCTCCTTATCTCCTCAAATTTTGTTTCTTTGTTTAGTTTTTTTATTTTTTTCTCCGCATGTGTGAAAGAAATTCACGCGCAAACATGCACACACCTGCATCCAGGCTCTTTGAAATAAAAGCTGGTTCAGAACACCAAAAGGTAGATGCAGGTTATGACTTTCTCTTTGTTTAATTTTCTCAAGAAACTATTTTTCTTAATAAAATAGCTCAAAAAAAGATTCTCTTTAAAAGTTCTGATGGAATTGAGCTAATGTGGCATGATAACCGCTTCTGAATTGGACAGTGAAGGAAAAGATGCCTCAGCAAGTCGCCATCATTTGTTGTTTCTTCCAATCTACACGACTTTAAACCTTCAAGGCTTCAAGCGTTTATTTTAGAACTCTGAGTGAACTTAGTAAGCCTTGTTTTTTTCCTTTTAGTTTGGTCAACAAGTACAAACCATTGACTGTTTCAAGTCGAGCAGAACTTTTCGCGGGGAGAATAAACTAAGGTGTCGATACAAATCCTTGCTCTCTTTTGTACAACCACGCTATTCATCATGCTACTCCCCGCTGCCAACTTGATATATTTGCCATTAAATCTCTCCGCCCCATCCTCCTCCTCCTCATCAAACCGTACAAATGATAAGCGGTTTAAGAATTATGAGCGTCATTTGAACCCATAAGGGTGTCTAGTGTCCAACACCTGATGAATACTTCGTAAATGAGATCATGAAGTTTATTTCTGATATCAAGGCCAATATTTGAGGGTGTTTTTCGAGTGAAAAGAATAAAACAGTGGTCACAAAGTGATACCAACAAAAATAGCGATAGGATGCGACTGTGAATATACCTTTAAGCAGGAAGTGAGATTTTAACAAGGGCGTATGCTTGGATGAATTCATTTTGGACGAAACTGAGATTCCACTCTCTGTAAGTCTCATATTTGCCTCAAGGCGAACTAATTACTTTCGGATGATGTGATAAATCTCGGTAAAGTACTGTGAAGCAATGCCTTACTTCATGTACCAACGACGCCCTCATTCTGGTTGTGTCGCTTTCCTCCCTGCCAACCGCCAATTGCGTTTCACCGCAGGACCTTTGGGATGAATGGCGCTTTCGGAATACCGCGAATTTCCCACATTTTGGATGTGAGTCGAATCATTTCGAGCAATTACTCATTACCACGAAGAAAAAGTATTTCCCATAAGGGCGCGCCTCTGATTAACCATAAAAACACACTCCTTATTCATAAATCTTGCGCAACCGCCTTCAAGATGCCCATACAATTATTCCACCACTGCGATCGCAAGTCACATGGCAGAGTAGTCACCTCACTTTGGAAATATGTCATGACCACTCGTGGATTACACTTCTGGTGGGAGTATTTTTAGCTCATTCGTATGAGACGATTACGTAAATTCCCATGAAATTACCTAGGAATTGGTCGAATTCATCCATAGGAATTTATGAGAAATGACCAGATTTTAGATTTTGGTGAGTTGAAGTGGATAGCAAAATTTGCTCTACTGGACGGTATGGTGAATTTCACTTTAAATCTATTAAATCTTTTGTAAAAAAAACTTGGTATTTTTAATAGATTTGAAGAATTAACGCATTAACAATTTTGCTACTCAAGTCCCGGAGAAAAAGCAACTCCAAGAAGGCAAGAAATGCGGGCCCTGTTAAAGTTATGCTGCTTAAAAGATAAAACAAACTCAAGTATTTGCAGAAAATGACTATCCAGCCCAAAAAAACTCTGCCTGTAGGACGAGTTAGTGGTACCAGCTAAAAGTGGTGCGACATTGAGAATGGCCATGTCAAAACCTACTATTCAAAATAGCGGCAGTAATTTACTAAATCTTACTAATTTGCTCACCTCTCTACCTATTCATGGATAATCTGAGGTGTTAACTCGACGGCCTCGATGTTGTAAGGATTACTACTTATTCCATTTTTCCTGAAAAGAACACCAACTAGCATCAGGCTGACCGTTAACTTTACTGAGTTAGTATATTGGGTGAAGTCGGTTAAATATATTTTGGCTGAGAGTTGAGAAATAAAATCCCTTACTTATACAAATTCTACGCTAAAAGCCTTTACAAATCAAGCTTTAAGGAAAAGCGAATAAGTGAATGCAAACTTCCTTTGAAATTCGACATCTTTGAGAAAAGTAGACACGCTGACGTGGTGCTTAAGGAGGGCATCAAACGGTACGAGTTTTGGCAACATCCACCTAAAATAGATTTTATGAAATTAGCCTGTGAAAGTGCTTCCTGTTTTAGTGGCATTTATTGGCTACTTGGTTAAGACTAATGTCAAAAAGGTTATTTTTTTCTCGAAAACCACTGTAAGCAAGGTGAAAGCACCGAGTTCTTACCTTAAGGTGTCATGGATTTTGTGACTACCTTTTGGTAATCTCCAGGAAAATGGTTTACAAAATCAAACGTTGCTACCAACAACCAGCCTAATGAATGGTAAATTCCATTTGCTTAGTTTTGATTTCTATCACTAATTTAGTCGGTAATATACGGCAAATTATTTCAGCAATAGGCTCATTATAAATAAGCTAAGATAACAAATAAGACTGCGGTGATTAAAGTGAAACCGTGAGACAATTTGTTTATTTAGGCCGTTAGCTACCCAAACGCTTTAGTATTCTCATCTTTTACCTCCACTATGTGGCGAGATCTTCAGACTTTGCTAATACCCTCCCGGCTTCCCTCGTGCGTCAGCAACAACCAGAAGTACTGAAGTACACCTGTTTGCAAATGTAAGGGTGTTATACTCAAGTCTTCATTTGCGTGGGCTTCGAATCCGTCATACTCCTGACCGGAGGGCTTAATAAATATTCTGATGTACACGTCTTTACCCCGCCCCCCCCCCTCCACCCAATGTGTATGCGTTAGCGGGGGGCGGGGGCACGATGTGTGTACACGTGACACCTGATTGGTTAGCTAGGTAACAGAGAATGCCGCAAACACGAGGTTATCCACAGTCTCGCCTATTTGATAAGAAATGCAACTCCTCTTCACTCACTTCTTACCATATTCCATAACAAAAGTGTTGGAAAATTGTGCATCCAAACCCAATATGTCAATGTACTTTGTCAACTCGAGTAATTCAAGCCCTATTTATCAAACCAATTTGGTGTCATCTTGCAAACTGGCAGTTTTATGCGAGATTAATCTTGAGGAGAATTGCAGTTTCTGCTCTCTGTTTTTAAAAGCGTTTTTTTCTAAAAGATTCCATCGGCATAAGGTGTTCCCATGCTTCCTTTAAATGGTTGTTTCATATGTCATTCTGAAGTAGTCTTAGGAAGATTCACCTCTTTAAAAAGAGATTCACTTCTCATACGAATTACTAAAATTCTGGGAATATAGAGCTGCAGAGATTGCAAAGCTCCAAAAGGTACGTGTCAAACACACGAATTAAAATGGATTCCATGGAGCAAACCGATGGATTGGATTTCAAGTACTTTCGTGGAATCACTCAAAGTAAGGCCGATAAAAGTGTTTTAAGATTTTTCTCTGATACTTCCTGTTTTTTCCTACTGAAGGCCAACCTTCAATTATGAAAAACTGATTAAATGCCACAATATTCAGAATCCTCCTTTAAAGCTCTCAATTCTCGAACAGTAAGGAAAATAATTTAAAATCAACTAATTAGGAATAAAAAAAAAGCAAAAGTCTCTTTTTTCGGCACTTTTGAGACTGGGAACTAAAAACGTTAAATATCCTGAAAAATTTGTGGATTCTTTTTAGCCCACACAACCTGGAGGTTATTTATTTGTAGATAAGGAATATATTTTTATGCGCCTCCTAGGTCTGCAGAATTTATGACGGTACAAATGAGTATGCTTGTTTCCATTAGATCAGAATTTAAAAATTTATGACCTTTTAGTTACTACAACGGGGCAAAGCATTAGTCAGACTGGAAGCGGTAGCCATAGGATCGGTTTTTGGGTTTTAAGCTGGCAGAAAAGTCATTTGACAGGATGATTAGGTCGCGTGAGTGGCGTCACATGATGCAATCGTATTGACTGATAGAAGTCATTTTTAGCTAAGGAGGGCCACGTATTTGGCACCCTAAACTTGGAATTAGAGTTGTGGTAAAGTAGATTTGTATATGAACTATTACTACGTCTTCAGCTATTGAAAGTAATTGACTTTCCTTGTAAAATCTATTTTACTTGCAATCATTTGCTCGTTAATGAACATGGACCTCTAGCGAAAGTCTATCCGACTAATCTACTACTTGTTTTCTCCCCCTATACACCAGCACCTTGATAATCACCTATGTATCTATCATTAATTTCTGCTGTCTTGCCTATCTACTATAACACTCGTTCATTTTAATGCATCTTGTGGATTGGATTAGACACTTGAATGTACAGACGTCATCTATCCGCAAGGAGGAGTCAGACTCTTATTAACGTCATGTACCAAATAATTAAACATTGACAGGGCACGTCGGAGTTTGACTTCCTCCTCCTCCTCAGAAATCGATGACGCCTTGAAGGCACGACTTTGATCCGATCTTGTCGTTTGGCATATAGAAGGCGCATTCAAACAATCCCTATTTGCCCTCCATTCCACGCGTTTGGCTATTTAGGCTTGATTGATTAAAGATGTCACTAAACTTCTTAGAATAGTTTGACTTTTTGGATGGTTTTTGACAATCAAGCTTCAAGTATGGAGAAGGTACATCGGACGTCAAATGAAAGTGTCTTAATCTGTTGTAAGGTTTGATCCTTGAAATGTTTTAGATTAACTGGCTATGGATATGAACTTTCTCTGTGGTAACCGAAGAGGATGTGTCTGATTCAAATAATTCCTTGCTGGATACTTCCAGGAAAATGGGATATTAAAGGTTGTCTAAAGTCAAGCTGACTGTGTATGATATAAATCATGTTTATGGATCCACCTAGAGGTGTCCAGCTAGTTTTTGTGGGGCACGGGAAGACATCAGAGAAACATTTTGATCTCTCCAAGTCATTTGCACGCCAACATTGGCTTGCCTACCTTCGACTCGTGAGGGAGCACCAGGTCCTGCTATCAATAGATCGCTTTGGTCCTACGGTACAATTAATCATTTCATCTCCTAGCCTGCCTAAAGGGTGATTACAAGGACAAAAAATCTTCTCAACTAGCGAATCAGGGTGTGATCTGCATTTCTGACTTGAGGACTGTTTTTAAGGTTCTAGCAATGTTCCAGTAACCGGAGCAGCAGAGTTACCATAGCGACAACTACAGACAGCACTCAAAAGACAAGGAGGAAGGATTGTTAGTCTCTAGACATGGTATCACCAGGTTAGACGACCCAGAAAGTTGCTGTTCTTGTAGTAAAACACCTTCATCGAATTTGGAACCAAATTTTGCAATGAAGCGGGTCGAGATATGAATAATGTCGGCTTACCCATTTTAGAGCATGCGCTTGTTTCCAAATTCATGACGAATCCTCCTTTTCAGCGTAATAAACTACAGTTGATCTCTGAGACAATGTGAATGTTAGATGCAATTTATCATTAAATTACTTGGAGAAGAAATCCAAAGGCACCTTTACTATTTCTTTGATAGGGTGACGGATCAAATGCTCGCGACAGCTACACAAGTAGCCAGGCCTCAGTCTGTCACGTGACAGACACCTCTGAGTTAAATGGTATCACAAAACCCTCAAATACGCGTCGGTGAACATTTACGCTAAGCTGTGTACGTGAATTCTCTACCGAGGTCCTGTTCTCCAACAGCGCCTTAAAGCATAATCTCATCATAACACAAGTCAGCAGCTCTTTTCTCTCATAATGGCTAGGCTGTACTGCAGGGTAGTTGGTGCCTCGGTGGTAACCTCTACTTAGTAGGATTTAGAAATTACGGTCGCAAGCTATTGGGTAAGAGAAGCTTTTAGCATTTACTTAAATCTCTTTGACTATAGTTAGTGCGATTTGGAATGAGAGTTTTGACTCTCCAAATTTTCAAAACGACTGTTGCTTAAAATGCTGATGGATTTTAGCTAAAAAATCAAATGTAAAAGTGGTTTATTTAGAGGAGAGGAGAGTGAAGTCCTACAATTTTCTCTTGTAAGGTATCTAGTTATTTCTGAATAAAGAAGTGTCAATAAAATTACAAAATGATTAGCTAGTTCGCAGATTCATCGCAAACTAATTCATCATCCTGCACAACTTTTAAAAAGATTCTTTTGAAAGGAAAGAATGAGGCAAATAAAGCATCAGTTTGCACTACTGATCCTAAATTGAGAGCATTCTTTTATTATGCGGATCTGCCGTTTCTAAGGTAACCCTTTCGCCTAGTTGATCGCGATTCCCCGGAGAATCTGTCCTGTTAGGTAATAGTAAAATTCCAAATTAAAACGCAAACCACTAATACAAGAAAACTTTGAAATATTAAAAACCGTATGAAATCGGTAAAATATCTTAGGTGAGCACACTCAAGAATTACAACCGAAGACAAAGGCGTTTGTTCCTCTTAGAAAGGTACGTACACTTTTCAGATCCTTTTAACGCATTTAGAAATTTATTTTGCAAGAAAAAGAATGGAAGGATTTATCCAAAGGGATCTGTTTCTCTATTGAAGCTTTGAACTATGAATGGGTGGACTGGCCGATGAATGCTTCGATAAGAATATAGGGACCCTTGTCTTCCTTGAAGTCGTACTAAGTCAAAGCAGAAATGGAAGAACGGGCGATTAAGTAACGTAGAGAAGGGCCGGGAGACCTTTAAAATTCCACAGAATGTAGATAACCACGCAAAGGCATAAAATAGGTTTTGCGGCACCAAAAAGATAAATAGCCTGCAAAAGCCTTTTTCTCTCCAAAATAATCACCGAAAATTGTTGTCAAAAATTTTCTGCTTATCTTAAAAGTGGGCTTTATCCATTTTGGCATGTAAGCAGCGCCCGTGTATATTAAGCGTGATAGGCTTTGAATGCCCCTACCTTACGTCAAAAAGTTGTTATTTTCTTCGTTGCAGCCTTAATTTTACATGCCAGGGACTTCTAGAAGATTGCATTATGTAAACTCGGAGAGAAATATGAAAAAAATTTTACTCCTGATTCTAGGTCATTTGAAGCGATCTGTCTTTGAAAAAAAGGGATTGTAGAGCAGCAAATATTCACAAATTTTTCCAGGAATTTCAACCATTAATTGAAGGTAAAGGTGTATAACATAAGGGTGTCTAAGGAGAAATAAATCTGCCAATCTTACTTTAAATGGCATCTATTTCATTTGTAGGGATTTGAGAGGGTTTTAATGGCTCTAAGAGATCCATCCTCATCAGTTTTTCTGTCAAATGTTTTAATGACAAAAGACGCTCACCATCATTCGTATGGGTCTGTTCAAAGAAGTTGATAATGGTGGAAAATTTTTCCAGGCGAGTTCACAGTTCAGAGGTGTGTAGCCCTTCGAATACATTTCCGTTCTTTGATTTTACCTTATTGTGCTCCAGATGTGGTCTGTTTTCTGGCAAAAATCCACGAAAAGCATATTAACATTAGGAGCTGAGTTTTGCCAAAAACTATCATCAGATTGTTGCGATTTCACTGTGCTGAATGCTAAAGTAACTATTGCAGGTTCACCTTAAAACTGGTGCTATTTGTCTCCATTGATGGCGCTATGTGATGGCCGTTAGGACAGAGTTCGGACCATATTCCACCGCGCCAAGTTGATTGCGTTGTTGTAATACCTCGAAATGGTATAACAACCAAAATTTTTCAGAGGGTTTCCTGCCATAGTATGCCTCAGATAAGGTACAAAAACGTTCAGTTGGATAAGCTATAGTCGGAGAGATACGAAATTTCGCACAAATATCTTGCTTTCTTAAGTCTATAAATTGTTAACAAAACACTCTTCCACATGGATTTTAGGGTAGACGGTGATACATTTGCTGATTGCGTGCAAGACAGCCGTCTGATGGCCTGTGGAAGGAGACAATCTAACAATCCAAAAAACAAATTTGAATTGTGTTTGGCGTGAAATGGTTAGCTCAACGTGTCATTAAAAGTGCAATGCATTAGGAAAGCAACTTAGAAGTAAGTAAGACATTTTATCTATTTGCTACTTTTAAATCTACTTTTGGTTTATCACTTTGAGCTGCACATTTTTCACAATCTATGGTAGAGAAAGAAAAACAATGATTTAAGCAACTTTTTTATGAATGAGCTCAACTGAATGATAATATGTCAGCTAAAAGTTGTGCAATACTTTTACGGCTTATTTTTCATCAAGATGAGTGATCTCGAAATTAACCTTTAGGAAATAACTACTGAAATGGAATAGTCTCTTAAATTGAATGACCTGCTAGAAATTACGAAGGGAATTTAATTTAGATCAGGGTATTTTTTTAATTGTTTGAAATGCCTGATACCCTGACAATAATGGACTCGGTGGTGGGTGACCGGTCCAGACACATCTAGAGAAGGCAGGTGGCAGCACTAACCATAAAACGTTCGTGAAACAACTTTTGACTTAATAGAAAGTACAAAACTAGTGGATATCTGCGAAGAACTTCGGGTTCAGCTGCTCAGAAGTAAGCCATTTGAACGGTGTGTTCATATCGATGACAATCAAAGCTACTTACTCTCGACTCAGGGCCTCGGCAGTCAATCCTTTGAACATTAAGTGCTTGCTACTTTATGAACTTTAGTGGATTAACTAACTTCATTAATATTTAAACTTAGCCCTTCAAAAGATTCCATTACACTGGATTTATGCAGAGCTTTTTAATAACCAAACGTACTTTGGTTGTGTATTTTATTGGTTTCCTTAGTGTGTTAAGCTCAAATATAATTGCCATCGCCGTGACAGCATAACAGAATCGCGGCCGTAGAGACATCATATAGGAAGGTGTGACTGTAGTGAGCTGGTTGCTTTGTTAACTCCCGGCTTTGGTAAAGGGAACTCTTTGATTTTTGCTACTGTGCCTTAGCCGGATAAGCAGGTATCCGGCCCATGCCAGTAGTCCTAATCCCTTCTGCGTGTCATATATATATATATATATATTCCGCCAGAGCATTAAGTGTTCTTTTACATTTAGGGGAGTGTCGTAGTGCCGCAACGGTGGCAACAGAAAGCGAATCCTATCTTAATGGGCATTAGCAGAGCAGAAGAAGAGCATATGCTGCAAATTGGGTGATGGTCCTTATCAAAAGGGATGAAAATTAGGTCTACCTCAGGCAGCTACTCCAGTCTCATGGTCTGCAGGAAAGCTTTTAACATCTGAAACGACACCAGCCTTGAACTATCCAGAAAATTCCGTCAAGGTGCTGTCTACCAATTCTGTAGAAAGATATCAACTAATCTAACTGGCGATACCCCCTTCACCTCTCTGATAGCTGGATAAAACTTAGATAAATACGGCTAGGCGGCTCTGAAGTGCGAAAAATGTGGTAAGAAGGAATACAATTAAAACCCTACCCCCACGAAACTATGTTCAATCCCCTCCTTTGATGTATGACTAAGTTTTGTCCTGTGTTTCAACGACTAGTGATGGACACACGCAATGACCACCACATTACCCCTTCCTTGAATCCACTTCGCATACACGATGAAGCCCCAAATAGAATAGAATTTCCAAGAGAGATTCAGTGATGGTACAGTTAGGTAGCCCCTCAATTGCATAGAACTTTGATGACTAGTGCAGTTGGCTCGTAGGTGCTTTTCCTTTCAGCATTGAGTACGTTGCGATGGCTGAGGCTAGAGGCTAGCGTAAGGGAGCGCCGGGACGCAGCTCAAAAGCGGACAAGGGCTATGTAATAATTTAGTTGTTTGTTTGTTTAACTCTCGGTTTTGGTAAAGGGACAACTTTAGGTCACCGCCACTGCACCTTGGCCTGGTGAGCTGGCCTCTAGTCCATGCCAGTAGGTTCAATATATACGTCTTTCTTCTTCAGGGAAGTTTTGGAGAGCTATAATGGCATCGGTGAAACTACCTTTAAATTTAAATGACATTTAAGTGCTTGATTAACCTGTATGCACGCCGATGGGGGACCTTTAGGGACAGAAAATTTTGATATCGCGTGAAGTGGTTTTCGTCAATTTTTAAAAACAATCCGAGTGCATTCTATAACTTTGTCACAAAATTTTATCCATCTTAAAGGAAACACTAAAATTTGATAGGAAATTCCAATCATTTTTATAAATAAGCAAGAAAAACACTCAAAATCAATTCAATAACATTTTACAGCTACTACTGAAATTGGTATATTGTATATTACTATTAGTCAAGGGTTATACTTTATATGCAATTGTACAGATAAGAACAAATACCAAGTCGGCATCTGCTTTAATTATAGAGGGAAATAGGCGCACTTTCCTTTGAAGATCATTAAATTACCTCATTGGCATCTTGGATGACTTTGCATCTCCCCTCTCCACCAATTTGAGCATCAATTCCGCAACACATAATCTTGCTTTGGCAAACATAAGCAGTGACTAAATGATCCACTTATTCAGCACTGCCTCTCTCGTCTCTCCTAAGTGGGCTCTTGTGAACACGAAATAATGTCTCATAGAATCGTCAAGACTCATCCGAGGTGTGATGCAGACGAATTAGGGAACATGTGAATGAATAAACATTCTTGTGATTATTGCTGAATTAGTAAGGTCTATTTAGGAGGGGTCAATGGGGTGAGGTCAATGCAGTAGCGACAATTGACGATTTGAGCCTTATGTAGTTTTAGTCGAATGACAAAAGCGCCCTTCACCTGTGGATATTTTATAAGCCAGGTGGGAACTTCCCTCCAAATTGGCATTGAGAATACTTGTTAGTTCTTTTTCAACCTGTAAATTATGATCTCGAATGAACTACAAATAGAATTCGTGATTTATGTAAGAGTTTAAGGTATATCAGTAGTCAAAATGCCAAGAATTTACGCAAAATTTTTCTGCTACATATTCTATTACAATAGTAATGGAGAAAAGAGCTATACAAGAATGAGTTGATATTAAAGTGAGGTCACCCTCGTTCAAAAGGAACCAGAAATTCTGTAACACTGTAGGGCACTCGTCCAATATCCACCGCATTTTTATGGAGGTAAGGGGAAAGCCACTGCAATTCTGTGACAAGTGGATTGCAATGTCCGAATATGCTATTTTGGTTAAGTACATAAAGATTGACAGTTAACCTCTAGTGTAGTACTGGTTGACAGTATGGCTCCAGTCCATTTCCTTTATTTCAGCTTAACCACACTAACGTGTTTCAGCAAAAAACTATTCAAATTCAATCAGAGCAGTTCTATGCAAACCAGTTTTTACAGACTTTGTAATTGGTTAGAGAAATCACCTATTTTAAGGGTACACCTTGACGCTAGTGACTGCTAGAAGCCTATGAAAGTGAAACGAATTACTTTTGTAAAATAAAGTAGCATTTATTAATTCCGAGAACTCAAACGGAATCCGAAAGTGTTACTTCTGCTGCTTGGTAATTTGCCACAAGTAAATCTAATATGCAATTTCCTTCTTATTTATACTTGTCAGACAATTTATAATAAACAAAAGTAGGTATAACTAACAATAGATTTAAGATATTTCTGGAATATTTTCATTTCTTCCCACAGACGCTGATATCGTAGGTCATGCAAAATACATGAGACGGAAGGAAAGGAGGAGTCCGGCTAAAATCGCAAGACGATCCTCATTGATAAGTGTGGAAAATACTTAAACACTTTTGCAAAATCTGATTTTGGAAAGTAAGATCTTCCTTTTGAAGGCGTTTACCTCTGAAACAGCCAAGTTTATTGTTAAGGGTGTTTATTTGCAGGTGAAACGAAAATAATGCGGAAGTAAGGCTTAAAGCGCTTGAACTTCATTTTGTTTCTTAGTAGATGACTGTAACAAAAGTTGAGCCAGAGCATGTACTGTTAATTAACTTGGCAGACATTCTTGGCAGTACATGGACAAAGCTGCATGGGATGGCAGGCGTAAAGCATGACTACGGATAACTAGTAGTACAAAGGGCTCCAAACACAGTACAGGGTGGTGATGCGGCATTCAACAGCTCAACATTATGGCACTCGAATTGTATGAATGCCTTAAATGTGTTCGTATATTTGCTTTTGACGGTCTCTGCCTCAGTTTTTCTCGGTCTATATCCCGTCTGTTAGCACAAACAACACTTTTGAGCATTTCATAAAGTATCTGCGTCCCGGATACCTGGATTGTCCTCGAATAATATAGATGTACTGCCCCAGTTGTTGATTTTAGGATGGCTTTTTAGGTATTAACGAACTGTTAAAATGGCCACATAAGTGCGCTAAGTGAGTAGGTCCACTCTTGGAACCTTTGGGGCCTTTAAGAAACGTACAATTCTTGATATATCCTAAGCAATTCTCATGCCAAGTAGGTGGTTATTTGCGGAATTAAGATATTTGCACTAATAAAACTATGCGGGGTCATCAAATTCATCTTCTAATATGACTTGTTTTATTTTCTTGTTAAATTATTTTTTAAAGTTTCTTAATTGCTACTACGTGATTTAGAAAATCATTTAGATCCCATTTCCCATGTTTCACATTCCCCAGTTCAACGTCAGCTTTCCTTTATATTTTAAAGGGGTTGTTAAAAAACTTAATTCGTCAATGGTTATAGAATTAATGGAACCCACCCTTTAACATCGTTGACAGGTATTTCATCAAAGGCGTGGTAGCGTGGATCAGCTCCGGGGACCAGATGTAGGTGTTTGGGGTGGTAGCCTTGAATGGGGAGTGTGGCTTATTGGCAATGAGAAGAGGCTGTGGATACTGAAAAGTCAAAGCGTAAATGCGGCCCTAGACCTCATCTTTTAGTTAACACCGTGACACACCTGTGACGCCCTAATTTTTTTCTCTTACCCTGTTGTGAAAGTTTCTTGATAAATGCAACATCTTATTTTATGATAACGTATTTCATTGGCTTGTATGCTACAGACATGGATGCAGACTGTTCCTTTCATGTCAGAGTAACTACGCATTTTAGTTTTTAAGCAGAAATTGAATGTGTTGAAAAGGTAATGTAAATTTTGTGCCGCATTAGAACCATAGAATAAGTGGACAGTAGCGGCAGCCCTACTATGGGGACGGAGCGTGGTAACTGACGTGTTAGTCCATCTGAGAATACATGGATAGTCAAGTAGATTTTTATTCAGATACAGTGTTTAGATACTTGGGTGAAGTCCCTTTAGTCATTTAATCATTTCGTATGTAGGATTTAAATGATAGATTCACTAAAATAACTTACCCAAATGCAACCAAAATTATGTGCAAGACTGTGAAATTATATGCTTTCTTTCCTTGTTAATAAAATTTTAGCTATGATAATTTAACCGTTAAGCATTTTCAACTTTACATCACGAATACTTAAAACTACTCATTTGCTTATCAGTAGCTGGCCCAATATTAATGGTCGAATTTAACGTCAACAGGGGTCGATTCACTGCAGAATGGTATCAGCAATACTCCCGGTTACCTATTTTAACATATGAATCAAGCAATATAACGACCTGGTCTTGTTTTCATTTAGTACCTTCCTAACCGATTATCTACGGTTAGTTTAACTTACGTCGCGGAGAGATGATGAGAGCCTATTACTTAATAGGTCAAAAAGCAAATTAAACCCATTTTATTAGGTTAGATCAGATGGTTTTTTGTATTTTTGACGTTTTTTACATATGTCACACAAGATCAGTTGTGGTGATAGAGCAGTTTGGTTGATCTTCTCAAAATACAACAAATCAAAACTAGATTGTGCAAGAGTCCGCATCAAACCTAACTAATAATGGAAAAAGTAGTAAGCTTTTCACATCAGGCCAGAAATTCTTGATATACTTCTATTGTAATTATTTTGCGCCATAAAGGAATAAAAAATGCATGGATGACTGGGCATTCAAAGCACACTGATCGGAGCTATCAAAACATCCATTTCATACCATTTTGACCCAGCGACATTTATCAGTTAATCCCTCACATCTCAAACATGAGCTGAAATATGGCTACTTAAATTACAAACAAAAAATTATCAGTGCTTATTTTTTTGAAAAAAAAAATCCAAGCAGACCCATATTAGTATTGCTGAGGTTTTATTATTTCACGGAATGTCAAATAGAAAACGTTGTGAAAAAAGTTAGAAACGATATATTTACAGCACGAATAATGAGAATCTGCCACCCCGACAATCTGAGTTTAAATTTTCAAAAGGGTGGTAGACGATGAAAAGAAGCCTTTCAAGTTGCTTCGGTGATATGGTTAACAGATGGAATAGTTTCAGACACACCCTTTGTACTTTCAGTGTTTGATCGGTCAACTACACGCCATCTTCTCCACTTCATTTGTGATCTTGATTGGGTGAGGCATAATGCAATTTTCCATACTCATCTACCCAAGTGTACCTTATTTTTTTGGCGTCACAATTCATTTAAGCTTAGCTATTTTCTATTTGTATGTTACTTCGGCAATTTATATCCATTCCTTTCAAATCCGGTATGTGTTTCTGCGAGAAAGAAGGGTAGATTATAAAATTATGGCATTTTTTTATTTCTGATTAAAGATGGAATATCTAATTCCTAATCTATAGCAAAGGTCAAACCCTTAGATTTTTTTGCTAATTAAGGTGCGTTGTGGGAAAAGATGAAATTATTTGCTTGATTAGAGAAAAATTTTACCAGTGGAACTAAGGATCTGCTTAAAAGCCTTACTACTATGAATTTAAGGAATAGTTTATACAGTTCTTCGGTAAAATAACCCTCTCCGTAATTGCGAGTGTACCCATAGGGTGGAGTGCTGGAGTGGTGCCATGCTTGCCTAGCTCTATCATCCTGATTGGCCATGAGCTTGTCCACTCAGGAGACACGCAGATCCTCTCTTCTACAAAACTCGAGATAAAGATCTTGTAGGAGTTCCAAAGTGCATACCCTTGTTCAGGGTTTGTAATCATCTCCTTTAGTGCTTTTTTTACTTAAAATTAACGGTTTGGGCATTTCTCACCACCTTATCGCTACTGTAAAGCCTACATTTTTCTAGAGTAGATTTTCTTGATGAAACTCCTTATAAACACACAAAAGAGCTGCAAGATTTGTAGTCTAAGTTACGGAAACCTAATGGGTTTTGGAGAAAGTCATTTGTTATTCCCTTACTATTGCAATGTAGTCCAAACTATGTCAATGTTTGATTTTCTTGAACTACGATTTTCACTTGATTTACAAATGTATGTATTAACCAATACCAAAAAGGAGACTAAACAAGCCAAATTCTTCCAAAACTATTAAGGGGATATGGAGGGGCACATTTTTGTGTTCTATCGACATCTGTTCGGTGTATAGAAAGTAAAAATCCAGTTTTGTGCAATCATGGATGCCCATTGACACCTTTATAATATCCACTCGAAGGTGCATTTTGGTGCCTTAAAAACGTTTCGTTGCGTAAATCTCGAGAAAGTATATAAGTTATTAATTCGACTATTTTAAATTCTGCTCTAGCCAGCATCGTTCATCAGTAACCAAAACCCGTCTGCAAAAAAATTGAAGAGAAGTTTAACAATAATGGAATGAGCTTGCTGGGGTGACTTCAACCCCATAAAAGCGATCTTGTTTCATTTTACTAACTCTAATTGAAGATGTATTCCTGAGCTCTCTAGGGCGTCGCACTTTGGCTCAATCTCTTCCCCTTCCCTTCCCTTCGGACAGGATCATATCAAGCAGCGATGTGATGGCTTGAAGGCCAAGATTAATCAGCTACTATAACTTCGCGTCACTTAAGTCGCCTGCATAAATGCAGGCTCACACTCAAGCAGGCAGTCTGCACTCGTTCCCAGGCCCGTCCATTTACTCCCTAATTTGGCGATAAAATATCTGCTCTGAAGTCTTTGTCTATCGCCTGCTTGGTCGCGAACTCCATAGGATACCTTCCACTCGATCTCACGACGCCTAAGTGGTAGTAATTGGCGGTATGGGCAGCTACAATAAAGTACGGCTTTGAAAAAACTAGACCATTAAACTTAAATAACTTCCTAATTTTAATGCGAATGCCTATTTAGGTAAGGCCGATACAGACTGGCAGTACTTCACGGGAGGCGTACAACTATGGCCTAGAATAAGCCACCCAGGCTTCAACAATATTGTGAGTTCTCCTACACACATTTATTAATTTTTTTTTTGATGCCCATGGTTAATTTTTAAGGCATGATATTACAGCAGACAATAAGCCACCACGTGAAAAAATATCAAAGAGGATGATTAACATTAATGAAGAGGTTTTCACGGTAGTAAAGCATGTATAATTTCCAAAGAATAGCATTATAGTCTGCCAGAGAGAAAGTTATGTGAGCTATAAAGAGAGATGCCAGGCCTCCTCGACCTCTGTGGTCCCGGTCACTGTCGTGGTGTGAGCCACCTAATGACAGTGACAGTAAGGCGCGGCCCGAACAAATGGATCTTATAACGCCGTCAGGGGAGAATGCAGAGCGGAAATACAAATAAATGATGGCACATTATGTATTGGCAAGGAAAAGCCATCATCTCCAACATAGAGACACCGGCTCATGAAAGTCACTCTTAATTCTTCTGTTCAAGTATCAGGAGTTCATTATGGACTTGTAAAAGTAGCAGCTGCCTTAAGGCTTCTCCACCAAGGTGTTTCGTTCTTCAGGTCATTTCAGTGTCCCCTGGGTGGCTCAATTTTTTACCACTTGAAAAATTGGTCATGTTTTACCTTTTTTCCTCTGAAATGCATCACATTCCTCACTATATTCAAATCAGACGGTTCAGTATGCATTTGGATTCAATGGTAAGCTGCAAAATGTCCAAATTTTTCCTTAGGAATAATGCTGGTAGCTTTCATTTCTGGGTGGATACCACTCAAGAAAACCTCAAGAATACAAGTTGAGCCGTAGAATTATTCCAAGAAGGGCCAGAAATTTTTTGAAAATCTGGATTTGCTCGTGTTTTGTGGTAGGGAGGGGTGATTAGCTTCTACACTTTCGGTGCCTTAATAAGCGACAACACAAGTAGCCTGCTTCACATCACCTTCACTTGAATTTGATCTCTGAATTTTGTCCGACAACTGCGATAAATTGGGTGAAGAGTCCTTCATTAGTAACGAGTGGGTGTCTGGTGCAAAATAGAAGAAAGGAAACTCCTTACCAAAATAGGTGGGATGGGACTGATGAAGCTGAGCACAAACAGAGTGAAAATGCAAAGTTATTGTCAAAACCACTCAAGACGAGTAACTATTTGTCTTGCTAAGGAGTGAGTAGAATTAGCTTGTTCAGTCGAAGGTAATTACAATTGGAGAAAACAACAATCCTAGTAAGATATCTTTTTTCGCTCCAGAAATTTTTTCGTTGAGCCAAGTAGTGTGGATGTGATTTTGGCAGGTGTATTTCCCCTCTTAGTAATGTAATGCGTTTGATAGACCTACAGGCACGCCTTTACACAATCACGACTAAAATATTTTTTTATCTTAGCAGGAAGGAGACGAAAATTTGACAAAACTCCTAGTTAAGAGACTCAAATTTTCCAGTAAGTACGAATGTCTATTCCCCTCTTGTTAAAACCACACTAGTCGATCGGAGGTGGCGCTAGATTCTGGAGGTCCAGCGGAATCTACTCCCAGCTTAATCCCTATTTCTAACCATATTCTCTCCTGATGAGTCTCAAACCAGAGAATTTGCAGCGGTAAATCTAAATTTACACTTTTATTACAAGTTAGTCCTCCACTGTTTTCAGAGGGCTCACCGTTTTGCGTCCATCACTCATAAAACATCTGCACCACCTTTGAATTTGTGGTAAGATAAAACGGGGTTCACTGGAACCCTCATTAGTAGTTAGTGAAATTCACCTTGATGATCTCTACAGTCGATTGCTTATGTGATAATTTCCTCGCAGATGCTTGTTGGAGGATCAAAACCCTTTAATTTCAGGTGAGATTTTTCGTATTTAATCCACTGGTCTGTTTCACTCAACTAATTCAAATTTTTCAGTGGTCCAGTTTTGCCATTGCGTTTTGGAAAGGCTAAGTCAAATTGAATGAGATCCCTTAAGGCTCTAGGCACGATTACAAAATAGACGGACTTAACAAGGACACTTGAAAGGTCGCTATGGTCTGGAAAACCTTCTTCTTATGTAAAAATGACTCAAAGTATACGTGAATGCATGGTGACAAACCACACAGACTCCTTTTCTTCATCGTTTACGCGGTGCCACCAATGCAGACTCAAAAATATCTTCTAGAGTGGATTGTGTCGATACGAGTTCCTCAGCCCTTAGCTGTCAAGTCCACCACCAATCTCTACCATATTCCATGACCAAGAAGTGTGCAGTCTTACTAATAATACGGCCAAGGTTTATGCGCTTCTATTTGCCGTTTTTCGCCTTAGCCACTTAACATCTCAAATCGAGTGGTTAAAAGCCGTAGTTACTGCTTATCTTATAAAAAAGAGGAAGTAGTCTTTTGAGTCATTTCCAAGACGAATCATTAAAACTCCATGAACTAACCTTGAATTCATTCCTTACATTGGACCAATAAACCGAGCAATGAACATGAAGGAGCTAAATGGTGGGATATTTTCTTTATGCCCAGATTGGCTTGTATCTGCGACTTTTTTCCATTTTCTTTAAATAAGCCACAACTTAAGTGAAACCATGGTGAAGAAGAGTTCATTATTCTATTTGCAGTGATTGCTTGCATTAAAACAGAACAACAAATCCTCTCTATTTGTTCCACAATCTCCATAACAATCATACATCCGAGATGGGTGTTGACCAATAACTCATCTATCTTGTGTTTCTAGCTTGAACAAAGGTAAGCTCCAACTCAAGAATGCGACAAATATTTTCCACTATCCAACAAAAAGTGATAGGAAAAGCTGAGAAATCTAAGTAAAATAATTTTGAATGGAATTAACATTGTGGTGCTGAATAAAGCTGACTGATGCAATAAATAAAAAATTTCTTCAATTAAGCAAATTCATCAATCGTTTGGTTAGAAATAAAATTTCAAAAGCAGTTAAAATGGATGTCTCAGATCCACAATTGAATAGTTGAGCCAACGAGAGGCGAGAAGGGAGTCAACCAATCGGCTAGTGCGAGTCAACAAAACATGAGGTATAAAAGACGATTCAACAATATTCTGTTGTCATTTACAATCAAGATGAAAAGCAAAATTTTTGGCCAGTGTCTTGTCATCTTCACATTCATCTACTCTGCTTACTGCACAAATAAGGTGCTTTTCATCTCATTCGATGGATTCCGACACGACTTCCTCGACATGGCTGAAAAGGCGGGCAGAAA